AACGCCGCGCTGCGCTTACTGTCCAGTAATAAAAGTTAAAGTCCGACCAATATTCATCGAAAGCGACGGCGACGAGAGCGAAGATGTCGAGCCGAGATAGTGCGTTGCACTCTATTCGAAGAGAACCAAGAACCGATCCGGGAATCACGGATGGAGATCTCCAGCCATCTTTCGCATATATCTTTCAAAATATTTTTATTATATTTATTTTGGGGATTATTTATTCAACCTCGGGGTTGCTTTACAGAACAAATGTTTAATATTCTTCGTCGGAGGCGAGGTGTGAGAGAAGGAGGAAGGGGGCAAAAATACTCGGGGCGACATGATAAATGGGGGTCAACTGCGCAGTTAAGCCTGCGACTGGAAAGACAGAACAGGGGTTTCTTTGGTCGCCGTTGGGATAGTGGAATAGACATGTCTAGATATCAATTGCTTTCGCAAAGGGGAGCCTTTCCTCAACATAATAGAGCAGAATATTTTTTGAAGCTCTTGGCAGGGGGTTCGCAATCACAGCTGACAAGAAGCCACCGTGTCCGAAGAAATGACTGGCGGAATACCTCATCAGCTGTCAGACACTTGACAACTCCTGTCGTCCAAATCTGGCAACTCGTTCCGGATGTCACGACACATCTTGGTCGGATCCTCCAAGGCAGCACATGGATGCAGGTTTGCGGTGACCCACCCTTGAGTACCTGCGTAAATGTCATCAACTAGGCCTAGTTGAGCTTGCGGGCCCCGAAGGTCGAAACGGAGCGAGACTGGCGTGGGCCCGCCGGTCCGGGTTGTTGGCATCGGGGCTCAGCGAGCCGATCTTGCCAAGGCCAATCGCTCCTTGGGGAGGACGGAGAGGAAAAGCATTTAGAATTCTTGGGCGGTTGGATTTCTAGGACGACAAAATTGACCCGGGAACTGCTATATTAAGCCTGAGAACGGCAGTCAGCCTACTCAATCCTAATGGCGGTGAGGTTGCGGAGAACGCCGAGCCCCGTTGTTACAGCTCACAGGTTGCGATTATGTTACGGGAGACAAGGAACCGGGGCGTTTATGAATAATGTATGGCTTAAAAAACCTGGTGGACTTGAGTTGAGTCACCGAAAAGCGAGCTTGTGCAGGCTCCAACCACCAACGTGAGAGGTGCCACGATATTTATTTGTGAGGCTTGTACACCGGTGACTGCTTTGAGAAAGCTGAATCGCTGAATCACTGGATCCTCGATGTGCCTGTTGTCCGGCTGCATCGTGCAATGCACAACACGACCTAATTGAACGGGCTCACGAGGGGTTGATGTATGCCAAAGCGCTCGAAAGAGAGACGAATCGTTTCTACCTCGCACCTGTCGGGAGGAGCCTAGTTGGCAAGATTCACCTTGGCCCTTTTTTTTTTTTTTTTTTTTTTTTTTTTTGGGTTCCCATGATATTATTCGCGCTGCACTTCCAGGTCCCTCTCGTCCTCGCCGCCAATGGCCAATGCCGCGTCATATTCTGGCTCCCCGTCATCCAGTCTCCTCATGGCTATGGCTCAAGTGCCCTGTCTGCCACGCTGGCAATATGCTTGCTTCTTTCTATTTGGGCGTTATCTGAGAACTACAGCAGCAGCCAGTCGACTGGCTTACCCCGAGCTGAAGGATATTCCTCTAGGTCCATGACCCCTTCTTCGGGTATAATAGTTGGTGGCGTCCGATCATTGTTAGAAGAGAGGTTACCAGCTCCCACACCCAGTATGGCTAGACACTCCAAAGAGCTACAATAGCGCAATGCACTCGTTACCCTCAAAAGATCAGCCGCAGGTGCGGGTCTTAGGGCCGAATTGTGACGACACAGAACTACCAGAAGAACTACCAGAAAACCAGTCCCTTATCGAAAATCACCGCAAATCCGGATCCGTGGACACCTTCATGAACATCTTTATTGGAGAAGGGATATACTCTCCTACTTATCGTCGCCTTTTCCCCGTCTTGAATGCTTCGTGCCCCGCAGATAATCTCGAAAACCTCTACTTGGGTACAGGTCCGCCTTCCAAGCCTTCCGCAGTTTGGCATGATGATCGGGACTCATTCATGAGGCCTCGATCACACAACGGGTTAAAGACCACCGATGCCTTTCATAAAACCTTACGGCTCAAGGTATGCCGTGGTTATTGTTTTGATTCCGAGTGCAAAAGCCCGAACTTATAGAGTCGGGTAGGTTATCAATCAGAAGGATGAACCTGATGCTGTGATCCGCAGAAGGTGAGTAACCTTATTACGCATCAATGACAGGGAAAGGAACAACCTCTGAACCAGGATTTCAGTCTCATACACACCCCCGATGCCGGAGCCCTAGCGGCCTTGATCTTGACAGTATCTCCGACGCTGGCACCAGTGCTCCGGGAATTTTTATGGTCACATCTGACGGGAGATGCATCAATCCATGTTAACCACACTGTACGCTCACGAAAATGCCCAAGTATACATTTGTAGAGAATTTTGAGTATGGAAAGCTGACGATTTCTTCCCCATAATAGCCTCACAGCCCGCTAGTTTCAATGGTTTTCCATCTGAAATTCCCAGTATGGAGAAAAGTGATAGATATTCGCAAGGATGAGCGAAAGGCCCACAACGGAGTTCCCTTAAGGAAGCGGACTGACCTCAGCTTTCTGGATGAGATCGACGGCAATGAAGCGGTTCTTTACGAAGCACAGGCCTCCTGTGCTGTAACCTACAACCAATTCAAGACGAATTGGGTAGTATGGTCCCTAATTGATGATTGCTTCGAGCCAGAAAACGAGGACAACGAGAGCTCCTTATTACACTACGAGAAGAGTTCTTGTCCTGCTGGCCCGGGAAGCGATCTCGGCGACATATCCATGGATACACTCGAATTGGACGATGCTGGCTGTGTCGATGTAGAGTGTGATCCCCTGACAATCGGTCATTCGCCGGTCGATAAACTTCCCCCCGACCCCAGGGAATATTTCTGCCTCATCTGGAAATATCGTGCAGGCTACATCTGGGAAGAGTGGCATAATACAGTTGATAACTTAGAAAGCAGCATTAACAAACATGTGAGATAACCCCGAATCCTTATTCCCTCTCCCTCGGAAGGTGCCACGGTCATTGTAGAGAATGCCTATCCAGCCATATTTCCTACAAGTTATTGATCTTCAAAGTAATATCAGCCGATTAGAAGCGAGTTGCCTGCTTACACGCATTGTGGTTTAGCTTGAAGCTCCTCACATCCCATCTCTGCACCGGAAGCCAACACCGGCTGATGACGTTGAGAAGAGCGTGGAGTGGATAATACCAGTTATGAAATGCATTTCAAATTTAAGAGATCTTATGGAGGAGAACCTAAAGGAGTGGGAAGCTTTTAAAATCCGTAGCAGCTATCACTTTGAACGCTCCGTCTCGGCGAAACTGGATGCCCTGTTTTCAGAAATTTCAGCAAAATACGACGGACTCCGAAAACTTCAGGACAAGCTAGATCGCATGAAGGCTAAATGTGAAGACTTTCAGAATCAGGTATGTGTGCTACTTCAAAGCCCTCTCTGGGAGTCTGGGATACTATGAGCCATTCACGCTAACATGTGCCCTCCCTCAACTACCAGCTTCACAAAATCAAGGAAACCAATGTGTTTATCCTGCAGCGCTGGACCATGTTTGTTGTAAGTACAGGCGCAACTTTAGATACCATTGAGACTGTTATCTCTCTAATGCACCTCGTCTGGTGTGGGTTTCATAGATTCAATTTACGGCTCCCCCGACTCTCGCCTGCAGTATCATTCAATCCGGAATCATCGCATTCAAGCCCCTAGTCGCATACTTCATTTCCCTTACGCTCTTCTTTGCAGCTATACTCCTTGTGACTCGTCGAGCCTTGGCTTCGGCAGGTTTCAAGATGCCTTGGCAGACATCAACACAGGATGGCAGAAAAAGTACCCATCCAGTGAGTGCTCCGGCTGTTCCGCACTGCCCCAGGAATCCCACGTAGGGCATAGAGCAGCGATTGAGGCTCAAAGCGTGGCATCTGGTAGGCCGGAAATTCCTTTCAGTGGGCTCTGTTTGGGGACCTGCCCTTGGGCAGTTTAGGCAATCCGGCCCTCTGTGGTGTAGGTTCCATCACAGAGAAACACTCCGCATGATCGAATTCCTGCGCTTTTACACAGCCTCCCTGCTCCCAAGCGCACACTTGCACAACTGAAATTCTGGTGTCCTTGAGATGCTGTGGTCATGCGTGCCAACGGCGATGACATCATATGCCTTTTCATCGCCAATCTCCTTTCTCCACGTGGACTGCCGCCGGAGACCACAAGATATAGGCTGTGCTGCCAAGAGCTTGAAGCCTAACGTGCCAATTCTGCAATCGATGTGAAGGCTTCCAAGGACAGGATTGTGATGGACCTGGTCGAAAAAAACCCCGCTTCGCTTGAACATTGGATGGGATCTCGGAAGAGGCCTTCGAAGCACAATACTCCCCATGGAATGCTTGTCGACTCGACCGGGGACAGAATTATCAATCTCCCCATTCGCTAGAGGCTGCAAGAAGTTGGAATTTGAAAAGTTCCGACTGTTAGTGGTGGATTTCAGGCCTATCGCAGGTTGAAAATGCCGCGTCCATCAAGGGAATTAGCACTCACGCTGTCATCTGACCGAATCGACCTGCAGCCTGCTTCTCATTGACGAGAACACAACCAATTGCCAACCACAGGCACAGGGAAGACTGGCTGTACACTACATAACTCTTAATGGGCGCCATGCCCTCCTGGTCGCTGCGGAATTCCTGCCCAACGTGGACAGCCATCTTCTGGAGCCCAACCTTAATGCGTAAGACATGGAAGACATACACACCCCGAGCCTGGTCGGCCACCCGGCACATCTAGTACAAATCGCAAATTCACGATTACTGCTTCAACAGATATTTTGAATATTGCAGCTTTTCGTGGCACTAGCACAGCCACTTTCTCCCTCCCCCCCTTCATTCTCTCTCTCTATGCTAGCAGACATGACGACTGTTTCACCGAACATGACCGCACTCGAAACGCGGCTCGGAAGCCTCGGCCTAGATGCGCCGCTGCCGCAAATCCCCGTGGTGGACGTCCTGAGAAAACCATTAGATATCTACCGCGCACATCTTGCAAGTTTACTAGCAGCTGCTGTCGGTTGTGATGTGTCTGTTGCCTACGCCGCCATAACGTCGAGCACAGACATCACTTTGGGAGACTTGGCGGTCATCCTCCCAAAGCTAAAACTTCCGGCCGCGGATTTTCAGAGCTTGGCCTTTGAAGTTACTAGTAAGGTAATGGATATCTCATGTTCCTGGCTCTCTAGCTCTCTGCTTCCCCACGCTTGTCAAGTTCAGGGCTAATCTAATGTGGTCGGCCGGTTCAACACAGCTCCCAGGATCTCCTTTGCTTCAACTGCCCTATCCAGATGGTGTCCACTTGCGGATTTTCTTTTCTCCGAAGACGCTCCCCCGCTTGCTTCTCCCTTATATCCACGAGAGGGGCCCGATGTATGGCGGTGAGACATGTGATGGTGTCGAAAGCGGCGTCCCCAATTCACCGGGCGCCGTTGGTAGGCGGGTTATTGTCGAATTTTCCTCTCCGAATATTGGGACTGAGTTCACTGCCGATCACTTACGAAGCACTCTTATTGGCGAGTTCATCGCGAGGACTCATGAAGCGATGGGCTGGAATGTGACAAGGCTGAACTACATCGGGGACTGGGGGAAGCATATCGGTCTATTGGCATCCGGATGGCAACGGTTCGGCTCCGAGGACTCGCTCCAGGGAAGCGGTGCATTAGGCAATATCCTCGACGTTTACGCCAAGGCGGTGGCACTATTCAAGCCTGAACAAGAGCTTAGTAGGCAGGCAAAGAACGACGAAGCTGCCAAGGCCGAAATCGAAAGCAAAGGTATCTTCGCCGAGAGGGACGCATTCTTCAAAAAGATGGAAGGCGGAGATGAAGAGGCTCTCGGGCTGTGGAATCGCTGGCGCGAGGTCAGCATCACCCAGTTCAAAGCTTCGTATGACCGACTTGGCATACGGTTTGATGAGTATTCGGGGGAGTCAACGGTGAAACCGGAGACAATGGCCAGCGTAGAGGCTATACTGAAAGAGAAGGGTGTGTGCGAGGAGATTGGTGGGTCTTGGATGATCAACTTCGCTAAGCACGGTGACAAGGGAAAGGGGTTGGGAACGCAGCCACTTCGAGGACGGACTGGATCGACAACGTACCTCCTAAGAGACATCGCTGCCGCTCTCGATCGTGATCAGACATATTCTTTTGACGAAATGATATATGTCGTCAGTGCACGGCAGCAGCTACACTTCCAGCAAGTCTTGATGGCACTGGAGCTTATGGGCCGCGAAGATCTTGCCGCAAGAATCCGACATGTTGGCTTCGGCGGAATCCAGGGGATGCAAACACTGTTGAAGGGGCCCCGCACTCTAGATGCAATAATTCAGTGTGTGAAAGAGTTGGTGCTCGGGAGCTTGGATGATGGAACGGAAGACACGAAAATGCCCGAGGATGCCAAGGTCATTGTTAGTCTTCTAGTCCAGGAGATGTCCACTAGACGGACTCACAGCTACACATTTGATCCGAAGAGAGCAGCGTCCATAGAAGGAGATTTCGGGAAGAGGCTGCAGAACTATTACGCAAAAATATCCTCCACCATCACGGGTTTACAAACCAGTGCAGCCACGAATATGGAAGCGGACTATTCGCTCTTGGAGGACGATATTTATGCAGATATTCTCCGAGTCATGGCTCAATACCCCGATGTTGTCTCCGCTACCTTCAGATCGTTGGAGCCACATGGGATGCTGGCATATCTAACCCGGCTTCTCGATGCCCTCTCTGTTGCGCTGGATGAAGGCGAGGATGCAGAGGCGGGAGGGTCAAGCTCTATGACAAGACAAGCTGGGGAAGGCCCAGAGGCTCGGCGGGCTCAGTTCGAACTTTACGAATGTGCAAAACAAGTTTTGGAGAATGGGATGCGACTACTCGGATTTCCGATCCCGGGCGCTTGATTCAAACCATCGACTTACGATGAGTTATCGAAGCTCTTCTCTCTGCAGTTCATTTGTATATGACCAAACCAGTTTTGAGCGCTGGTGACACTACAAAATTGTACAGTTTATTTGCTTATAAGGCCCGCAATCTCTACCTATAGCCGGTTATATAATCAGTTACATGATGTCTTCTCTAGTTTTACATATAGTACGAGTTGTCGCTAGTTTTTTTCAGTCACACCAAGCATTCAAAGCCTAGAAAATGGAGTTGGATCGCATGTTGTCTTTTTGTAAAGACATCTGTCAGGAGCATATCAGCTCGCGCCATTCTTATTACACGAGCGGCTTCTCAAAAATGAGCACATATGTTTGTTGCCTTATGAAGGAGACCATTGGTTTATTACAACAGCTGATTCAAACATGGTCGCCGACTATGGCTTCCTTTGGAGGATGATCGTGACATGTTAAGAGCCCGCATGTACTATTATTGTCTTAACTCGCTCTGGAGGATGACTAAGAAACGCCGCCAGAACTTGCAGCTCGTCCTGGCCCTCAACGTATAACTATTATATGATTTCGAATGGTGCTGTTTATCCCGCCCTATCGAGTGATATTGTCTAGTGATATCTAGTCGTGGCGGGGCGGTAGAGAAATTTCCCTCGACTATCACCCACTGCATGTCCCGGTCCACAACGTAAATCTGTCTATTGGTGATGAAAAAGCCATCACCTGTGTAACCCAAAGTCAGAACAGCAGAATTATGGGGAGATCAGTTAGTTGATGGCCCTCGTGTGAGACACTGATGCTAAGACCTCATAATGCGTTGCACTTTGGATCTATCATTGGCCAGAAGACTCGAGCTCTGGGGCTCTAACTCGGGAATTGACTAGCCATTTCTCTTTTCCTTCAATAATAATAGATATTTCATTACGATCCTCCGAAACCCTTAAAGTTTGATGATGTTGTGACTTCGAGATCGACCCGACTACCTGTGGAAGATGGAGGGGATTCGTGGTGGTTGCCGTTTGTGGCAAAAGCTGAAGGGTCTTAGTGGATCGTGAATGTGGAGCCCCCCCTTGCTCCTTCCCCCTTGTTGCCTAACTCACATGAACTAATTTACCCCTCAGCTGAAGTCGAGATTATCTTGGTCCCTTGCTTCATTGGCTCTGAGCTGCTTGGAACCAAGGTAAACCCTTCAGAGTGCAGGAGGAGAGGAGAAAATATTGTCAACTCATCGCACGGTCGGTGTCTGTCTTGATGCCTGAGCTGCCAAGAAGCCTACAGTAGCACTAGATCTAGGGACCTCCACATTGCATCTTCAGCCACAATCGCTCTTCCCGATCTCCCTCCTTTCCTTCCCTCCTTTCCCTCCCTCCTTTCCCCCTTCTCTATTTAAGCTCAGCCGTCCGCATACTACTCTACAATGAGTCGCCTTGGTTCTATTGCTCAGCAGATACGGATATCCCAACAGAAAAGGAACATGACTCCCAACACTAATGCCTCCGAGTCCTCCAGACTCGAGATATTCGGCTTCGGACGCGATGTGGATAGCGCATATCCCCACGCCAAATTCCCCTCGGGGTGGGCGAGCCAAGGCGTCACGCTGCGAGAGAAGCGGATGCTGGCATTCATCGACAGCATCACCGATAAGCCAGACTGGGAAACCAAGGTCTTTGACGAGGCAATTGTCAAGAAGTGGCGTGAGGAAGCAAATGTGTCCCCTGAACATCTAAACGGGGACATTTTGCTTTCGGAGAAGATGTTTGACTTTGTATGTTGGATTCTTCTGTCCTTCTAAGAATATTACCCCGAAATTGACGAGTCACGGTCGCAGTGTATCAGGGAATTGCGGGAGAAGGCCGCTATCTTTAAGGCCACTGGTCGAGTCAATATTTACGATGCAGAGATCACAATCGTGAAATCCGACACCGCCGTTCCCACAGCTCTCAGGGATGATCTCATCGAGGGTGTAAAGGTGCTTGAGAATGTTCCTGAGCACAAGAAGGACTGGCACCCCGGGTCTGACAACAAAGTTCTCGATCTCTTGCACCCATCTCTGTTCCCCGTTGTTTTCGGGCTCACAAAGGCCCTTCCCCATGAAAAGGTACCCTTGGAGGGATGCATCAGTTATACCGGAAAGGGCGAGCCTACGCAGTCCTACATGCCTACGCGAATGGACTTGCCACCGTACGGTAGCTTTCAATGGCTGCCTACCGATGTTCAGCTGACGGACTCTGGCGCTGAGCTCCTTGGCTACATCAATAATCTACACCCCGAACAGCACCAGGACCTTTTCAAAACTCTTGAACGCATGGTCGACGTTGCTGTCCCGCTGTGGGATGAGTGCCTTAGTGGCTACTACAACAGAATGAGAATCGTCCTCGGCGCCACGGGTGAGGATGATTACACGTTCCCAGAGGGCCTAAAGTATCGAATCCCCGGAAGGGACGAACCCAAATGTTGGTATGACCCAGTCAAAGACACTGTCGGGGTTGCTGGAGACGACAAGAAGGAACAGAAAGGTGAAAAGGCAGAAGACAATGACGAAGATGACGAAGGCGACGAAGACGACGAAGACGACGACGACTGGAGATGGGAGGACGACTTTAGAGATTGGAAGGAAGAGCACCGCGTCCTTGTCTACAGGGAACCCCGAGATTACATCTCGCAAGCCGATCTTGTATCGAAGAGTGGTTCTGGCATCAACTTGAAGCAAGACTACGAGAAGGGAATCCAAGTCATCTTTAAGCTCGCCAATATCCACCTAACGCCCGAGAAGCCCGTATATGAGGGCGGTACATGGCATGTCGAGGGTGCGCTGAACGAAGGAATCTGCGCCACGGCCATCTACTATTATGACCAGGAGAACATCACCGACAGCCACCTCGCCTTCCGCCAGGCCATCGACGCCGAAGATGTCATTATGCTGCCCGACCAGAACGAGTACGATAGCATCCAGGAGTTTCTAGGTGTTGAGCAGGATGGACCCGCCATCCAGGAACTCGGAAAGGTCCTCACTCGCGAGGGCCGTTTCCTTGTCTTCCCCAACTCTATGCAGCACCAAGTTCAACCATTCTCGCTGAAGGATAAGTCAAAGCCGGGCCATCGCAAGATCCTGGTCATGTTCCTCATCGATCCCCAGCGTCGCGTCCTTTCGACAAGCAACGTCCCTCCGCAGCGTCGGGATTGGTGGGCGGACGAGGTCCGGAAACAGCAGTCCCTTGTGAAGCTGCCGGCCGAGCTCTTCGACCACACCGTTGACATGGTGGATGACTTTCCCATTTCTTGGGAACAGGCTCTGGAGATTCGGAAGAAGCTTATGGAGGAGCGATCGGCCAGTACTAAGCTCGCTAATGAGAAGATGCTCGAAGTTAGTCACCCTTTTCGGCCCTAGTTCCATGGAATTGCGCTGCTCAACTAACTTTCCAACTTAGGAAACCTTTAGCTTTTGCGAACATTGAAAGGTTACCTCGGAGTAGATGTTGACTTAATAGAGGAATGAGTTTTGCAGGGAATCAAAAGGAGGGGGTTTTCTTTTATCTCCTCTTTTTCACATGTCATCATGGACATACTACAACCTGGGAGAAGTGTTAGCAAATCGATGCGAGGGGTTCAGCCTCCGGTTTCAGATCCCAGCCCTATAAACCTTATTATCACCGTCCAATTAACAAAAATTTATCATGATAAGTATAGAACTTCGTCCGTCTCATCTCCCAGGCAGTGCGGTGACAATGCGTTAGAATTCTAGAGCTACTGGTTCTTGAAAGCACGTAATGGATAAATCTACAGATTTTTGCTCCCCTTCTCCCGAGGAACCACTTTCCGTGGCTGCTGCTGCCTCAAGCCCTTGAGAGCCGAAGACCCGCTTATTGGGGAGACTACAAAAGGGCATACCTGGTGAACTTGGAAGCGCAACATGTGACATCATGACTGCCTCTGCCTTGTTGAAAATCTCGCTAAAGCAAAATATCACCGAAGAGGATGCGAAGACTTTGCAGCTGGCGGAGCATTGTTGGCAACGGAGAAGGCGTTGGATTGGCCAAATCTCCTTCCGCATCCCATTTTCTGCACTCCAAAGGTGACTTCTCCACAAATATGCTCCACGACTCGGTGGGCCTGTGTATGCCGAGGGTGCACAGCGCCCGCTTTTCATCTCGCCCGGCTCCACCGAGAGTCTTGCCCTGTTTCAGTAGGATCATAACTTCCAATTCGAGAATGCCGCATCGTTCTACAACCGCTCATTCTCACCCGTAGAAAGACATGTTGGTGGCGCTCCGGGCAGGAGGTAACTGCATCCGTACGCACCTCGGACGTGACGACGTGGTCGGCCATGACGCCATGTGATTAAAACCCTTTCGTACTTTTCCACTATAGACTCTACGGCCAAGATATCCGGAACTTGTATCCCTCTTCCCCAGCTCGTAGAATGTCAAGAAGTGTATTTAAAGCCAGACGCTTTCCCGCCAGACTCGGCACCAACCGATGGATCTTGATGTGATCCAAAACTTGGTCCTACTTTTTGTGTTTGCTCTTTGTTGCTTTGTTGTTTCCAAAGTTCAAGTAAGATGTCAGTTCAGGAGAATGGGGTTTGTATACCCACATTCTGGGGCACCTCGGGTAGAAAGCTGCAGATGCTGGTCACTGCCGTTGCTACGGCCGACTTCTTACTCTTTGGGTATGACCAGGGCGTCATGTCCGGCATCATCTCTGCTGATGCCTTCACCGAGGATTTCCCAGAAGTCGTGACTGGAGGTAGTGCGTACGAGGGCTTCGTGACCTCCATTTACGCCGTTGGCTGCTTCCTCGGCGCCGTCTTCATCCTCCTCTTCGGTGACCACTTGGGCCGTCGCATGTCGATATATCTTGGTGCCACGACGATGATCGTGGGTGTCATTATCCAGGTTTCCTGTGTCCCCGTTAGCGGAGGCACAACCGCGCAGTTTATCATTGGACGTTGCATCACCGGTGTCGGGAATGGGATCAACACTTCTACAATCCCTACCTACCAGGCCGAGTGCAGCCACTCTCATAACCGCGGCAAGCTCATCTGCATCGAAGGGGGAAATGTGGCCATCGGGACACTGATCGCGTATTGGATCGACTACGGTGCCATTTACGGCCCTCACGATTTCACTTGGAGGTTTCCAATCGCTTTCCAATGCGTCTTTGCTATTACTGTTCTTATTCTGAACACTAGACTGTGAGTACTATCACGGACCAGCTCTAGGGCCAGGAATACTAATTTGGATGTTTTTCAGTCCCGAATCGCCAAGATGGCTCCTTACCAAGGATAAGCACGAAGAGGCTGCGATGGTCTTGGCAGCGCTGGCTGGCAAGCCAACAGACGACTACGAGGTTCGCTCCCAGATGACCGCGATTGTTGAATCGATCAAGGCTTCTGGTCACTCGGGCGGCGTAACGCCCATGTCTGCCCTATTCACCAACGGCAAGACGCAGCATTTCCGTCGTATGATCTTGGGATTTTCATCCCAGATGATGCAGCAGCTCTCTGGATGCAATGCCGTCATATACTATTTTCCCATTTTGTTCCAGGTGAGCTCATTTTCGCTATTTACGTCTCACCTTGTTAGTTGGAGTGCAGCTCTAATCAAGCCTCGAGACATCCATTGGCGTCTCCCACAACATGGCTCTTCTTCTAGGAGGCGTCAACATGATTGTGTATTCGATCTTTGCAACAACCTCATGGTTTGCAGTCGAGCGCATCGGCCGCCGAAAATTATTCCTCATCGGGACCGTTGGGCAATGCTTATCCATGGTTCTCGCCTTTGGTGCTCTCATCCCCGGGACTGAGGCGGCTGCCAGAGGTGCCGCCGTCGGGCTGTTCACCTATATTGCCTTCTTCGGCGCCACTTGGCTACCTCTTCCTTGGTTATACCCAGCGGAGATCAACCCTCTAAAGACCCGCACGAAAGCCAACGCCGTCTCTACGGTCTCAAATTGGTTGTGGAACTTCTTCATCGTCATGATTACGCCCGTGCTCGTCGATAACATTGGTTGGGGAACATACCTATTCTTCGCCGTCTTGAATGCCATCTTTTTCCCCATCATCTACTTTTTCTATCCCGAAACGTCGCAGAGATCCCTGGAGGAAATCGACCACATATTTGCCAAGGGTTATACGGAGAATATGAGCTATGTCCGTGCTGCGAAGGAACTTCCCCGGCTGTCGGGTGAGATTAATGCCCAAACTGTGGGGAGGGACGACGTAGATGTCGAGAAGAGCGGGGAGGTCAGTGATGAGATGGACTCTAGAAGTGTCGAAAATACAGAGAAACTCTCGCATTTGGACTGAAGGATAACGAGGACGAAAAAGAGAAGAAACGCAATTGAAACTTGGGGGGGAGAAGGAGCTGATAAGCCTAACATGTACGGGAGCGGAACGAATCCAATGCACCCTGACTTTATGATAGATACAGGACGTGAAAATAAGAAGATACCACTTCGAAGAGATATTGACAAACATCAACCTAGGCCGTGAAAAACGGCATCCAATAGAATAAGTTCCGCCCTCATATCTCCCCTCGTCCTAACTTCATTATTGGTTGCAAGTCGAGCTTTCACGGGATCAGTTTTTTCGTTCCTCGGTGTTTAGAGCTTTCAGTTTTCGAAAGTGCCTCGGTTTCTTGTAATTAACATTCCTCCGCTGTGGTTATGCTCTAGGATCCCACGCTCCGCCACGATCATCTCACAATAAATTACTGCTAGGGGAAAGTATTTTACCCAAGGTTACTAGTGGCTGGTGAGATTAAGTGATATCAGGCCGACTGGTCTGATTAGTGGAGCTGGGTGTTAAAAGACCATCTGACTATACTTCGGGAAACGTAGTATACTAATATATTATTCCTACAGAATAGCCCTTTCCGACACACGATAACGCGCTAAAAAGTGCCAGGGGACGAGTTCCAAACAAGTTGATGGGTAAAACCAGATCTACCCTAGAGACACAATCCTGAGCCGCCGCTATGTTTCGAGGAGGCTGAATAACTGGATGTTTTTTGGGTGACACCTGCAAGTTATAAACAGACTAGCATCGTATTGCAGATAGACACTGTGATAGAAGGGTAAGAAGTACGGAAGAAGGATAATAGCGCGTGTAGTGTTAAATTGCCGTCGAGCCGAGACTGCACGAAGGCTTGGGGTATTGATCATATTGGTAGGTTAAGACAAATGAGGGAAGATAGTCCTAAATATTTCCCTAAAAATTGGTTTCCCTCTTTCCTTTCTACATTGACCTGTATCTCAAGAAGGGGAAAATCTTATTCCGTATGTAAGGGAATAGAGTATTTCAATCTATCCAAAAAGAGAGTCTTTCTAGAAAGCAGTGATGAGATTAGGCATCGCCCTCGCTTTCTTCTGGCTTCCGACCCCACACGACCCTTTGTGGGAAGTAAGGGTAAAACTTGCCCGACCTGATCTCTCTTCGGAAGTGCGAGATGTAAACCTGTATCTCCTCCCTCGTCCAACCGACCGTGCTCGCCATAAACAAGATATAACCCTCAATATCCGACTCGAGGGCCACTTGGCTCAAGGTCCCAAGTTCTTTCAAGTGTGGGTCCTTGGGCCATGGTCCCATCGGGTTCTAGTAAAAGTGATCAGCATGGGATAACAGGGGTTTCGTGGGAGGGCCGGACCTACCTTGTAATTGAACTCCTGGATGTCTACGAAGCCCGCGGCCTCCATCCCTTTCCTCTGCAGATCCTGCTCTAGAATAAGACACGTGTTACCCATCTTCTTGCCACCCTCCTCATAGAACTTCCCCCACTGTCCCAGCGCGGAGTCCTCTGAAATCACTGCGTGGTCACTCTTGTAGTAACATGACGCCTCATAGCTCTGGACCCAGCCTCCTGGTTTCGTCACCTTGAATGCCTCTACGAAGAGGGCGTTCCAGTCAGGCACGCTTCCCAGGAGCCAGCGGAGGTGAACGAAGTCGAAAGTGTCCGGGGCGAAGGTCCATTCGCGGGTATAGTCCTCGATTTCGCTGCCATATTGTTTAGCTAGTGTATCATCTCATCACCGCCGGATCACAGCAACTCACAACTTTAGGTTCGGTGGGATCCAGCTGGGTTGAATAGGGGAGATGTCGGTTCCGGTTACTTCAGCCTCCGGGAATTCGTCCGCGAAGTCTCTGAGGGCCGGTTAGCGCAGCCGCTAAAATCCGCGTTAGGTTAGAAGCAGACGCACATCGCCCAAAGACCAGTTCCCGTTCCCACATCAAGGACCCGCTATGAATATATTAGAGACGGCGGACAGTAAAGGGGGTGGACCATAGCGATGGGCGTGGAGGTAGAGGGTTACCTTTATTTTCTCCTTCTCAAGAGGCGCGAGGAATAGTTTACCACCGATCCCGAGCGTTAGTCCGTGGTGACTTGCATAGTAGTGAGCAGACGGTCTTTGAGTGTGGATGCTGGAAAGAGGGACATACTTGATATCCATTGACTCGTTCCCCTGCTCGTCGTTTGTCCCCCTGCATTAAACACGAAGTTAGTCGACGAACTCGACAAGCGCGCAGTTCGGCTGCAACAATATTACCAATATTTGGCATTCCCAACCTCGCTGTGGAAACGCCGTCCATGGAGAGTCCTATAATTCAAAATACTCGACGAGATGGAGGCAGTGGACGTATTTATTGACTCCCCAAGCGCCGACTCGGCGTCGTCATCAACCGGGTACTGGACCATGATGTCAGAGGAATGCATGGCGGCTCATTTTGCTGCTTATTCGCCTACCTGCGCCCAATGCTCGGCCGGTAGAATGCCACCCGAAGTCGAAGACAGCGGGTCACTTCCTGCCTTCGGCGGGCTGGATGCTTCTGAGCCGGGAGGGGACTTTCTGGGAGGGGATTTTCCAGTCGTCGGCGACTTCGAACCGCTAGGGGACTTTCCCGGAGAGGACGGTTTCGACCCGGGAGGGGATTTCTTCGTCTTGTCGTCCGCCATGTCTTGTGCGAAGTGAGTTGAACAATTGTCTAGTGAAGAAAGACGGAGAAATTGCAGTGTGAAGAGATGGATTTTGGGAAGAGTGAGACGACCCGCTTCTGCCCACGATCTACAACTTCTCCAAGTACCTCGTAAAAATTGACGTGGCGGGCCCCCAATGAGGCCACAGACCAATTTCTCCATCTGCCTCCGCATGTCACTCTGTCCCCCTCACAGATGTGGCATCGACCGCGGACAGGGGGGCGGCGGGGGTGTTCCCGGATAAGACGAATGGAGTGACACACTGACACATAGATATGCATGGGCTCCAATGACATGGAATGAATCCCTGCGGGTCGTTCCCTGGAATCCAGAAATGATATATGACGAGTGATAAAGAGCTGCTGCTACGGGATGCCAAGAGAGGAACTGGCGGCGGTGACAAATAGCTGAGCCACAGGAGCACAGATAACAATTGAAGAATGCAAGAAGGGAAATGCTAATTGCAGTCCCGACGAGAGGACGTTCGACTTGGCATTAACTCATAGCGTCGTCGTCACATAAAACATGGAGCTACCGCCACTGATGGCGTTTTATCACCCAGCGGTCTGGCACATCGAGCTACATTCTATTCGAGCAATTCATGACCTCATGCGATTTTCTTTTCTCTCATTTAATTGCCCGTATCACGCTTTCGAATTTCCTGTTGGGCCTTCTTAATAAGAGTCGTCATTCTCGTGCGGTTCCGCAAACAAACATTTCCTGACCTCTTCTCCCCATTCACCATACCCCAGTAGCGCTCGCCGCCTTCAGTTCCGTAACAACTGCTCCCATGGCTACACCCGACGTCCCCAGTTGTGTCGGGAAAGCATACTCCTGATCGCGCTCACTATCCGAGCGAGGTGGCCAACGACGTATAATGTCGTGCCCGGGGCTGAACCCAGGATTATGGACTCGGAACACAAATTCGACCTTTTCATGGTCGTTCTTGCCGCTAAGAGAGACAATTTGTTCGACAGTAGCCCCAGGGACCACGTCTTGGGCGTGATCTGATCCATCACTGTCGCGGGGGACGGGTTGCTCCGCTGACTGAGGTAATGGACGCTGCAAGGGAGGCAGATGAGGCTTATCGAGCATTTCCCTCACAACGTTCAGCGCCGAGATTGCAGCCCCGGAAATCCACGTGTGGTGGTAGGATAGATGCTCGCCAGCAAAGTAGACCATTCCATGTTCTTCGGGCTTGCAAGCTTCCTTGAAGCGATGAAATTGACCGGGCAGGAACATTGCGTCTCCTGTAGCGGTTGAGGCGGACCAGACGGCATCTGAGCTCTCGATGAGAAGGTCATACACGTTGACGGGGGTCCCGCCGTCGTACGTTCGGCCGCGATACATCTCGTCGATACAGTTAAGCGCAAGAGCACGTCTCTCGAGGGCTGTGAGAGGCAACCAGTTTGATGCGTCCGTCATCCTGACGAGCGAATAAAGAACTGGTTAGTCTAGGTTAATCACGAAAGCAAGGCAAGAGTCTCTCACCATGCATAGACAAGGAGAACACCGGGGCCCTTGTCCCTGGTACCACGACCATCGATACCGTCCCTTTCGATGCCGTTGGACGGGAAAACGATCCATCGTATGGGGAGATCGGTAGTGCTCTGCCCACCCACGGAAGGGTTTGGTTCGACTCGCTCCCAGAAACGAGTCTTGAAACGCAAGCCCATCTTGTACAGAGCCTCAAAGTGCATCGATCGGATTGCCATCTCCTTCTCGACGCTCCAACGCGGGCGGTCGACAATCATTCGCAGGGCCGCTGGCGGAATGGCAAAGACAACTCGGTCAAAATCGGCCCTGAGGATGCCATTGTAGCCCGTTGCAGTGATTCGAGCCTTGCTTCTTCCATCGTCGTACTTGACCATGTGGAGCCCCGTTACACGCGCGCCAAACGTGATGTTTTTGTACCCAACCAGCTTGGCCATGGCTTGAGGCAGGCGACTCATCCCCCCCTTGATAGTCCGCCACTCCTTTTCGTCGAAGTCCATGCTCTGCATGATGAGCTCAGGGACACTGAGGGAAAACTGGTTTGTCTGAGACATGACTGTTTCGACGAAATCTATGATGATGTCCGGCCAATCCATGACGGATTGGCAGTAGAATCGAAAGGTAAAGTGGTCCAAGTCCCTGACAATGTTGTTGAACTCTGTCTCGAAATTCTGCTTGAGTCTCTCAACGAAGCCACCGACGGCCTCAGTGAGCAAGCCTTGGGCAGTCTTGTGCATGTACTCGGGGGGGACCTCCCAACCTAAAATGGCCGGAGTTGTGTCGGTTGCTTGAATTTCGATTCGCTCGCCCCCAAAGTAGACATCATTTCCGGGACTAGTCAGGATGTACTCGATCAGATCGAGATTGTTGGCTGGATCCTGAGAGTTGACATAGTCGACGAGCTGGTAGAAGATTCGGTGAAAGACCGACTTCGGTACACGCATCGCGCCGGCCTCGTAATACTGGTTCTCTTCGGTGGTAAAATAGTGGGTGTGTACACGACCTCCTATGCGGCCGGAGCCCTCAAAGATTCGGACATGATGACCTTGTCGTTGAAGGAGGAGTGCGGTGTAGAGTCCCGAAATCCCCCCACCGACGATACCGACGGCGAGTGCTAAATTAACCAACAATAGTTAGCGGAACAAATGACTCATGATGTAGATAGCTAAGGAGCCCTGGGAATGTGACCTGGAGTGTCAGGTCTTACGCTTTGGTATAGAGTCAACGTCGGGCATCTTAGCGAAATATCTGAACTGCAGCGGTTGGTTTGGTTAGAGAGCAATGTCTCGAGCGCAGGGTTGGTATCGTCTAAGCAGAGCATGCGTCCATGGAAGTGAAGGCCGACATCGTTTATATAATTTATCTGACGGGCTGAAGGAGAGAGTCCACTGCACACTGCACCAATGATTTGCGGATACCAGCAGTCCAATTCTACCCATCGTTCACTTTGGCTTTGCTATCCCCTATTGGCGAAGTGAGTAGCATTCTTCAAGATGGCGTGTGAGGGTTTTGGGTAGCCATACTTCATGCATGCTGTCCGTCAGCGAAATGCTGATGTACGTAAACTCACAGCCTGGGCATAACCTGGTTATCGGTTATCCTTGACTTGGATTTGTCTTTCGAAATCAACAGGCGGCCTCCGTAGTGAAGTATCATGATGAACTTTGTGACTCTCAATGAAATCTAGTAGCTACTGGAAAGAAGACAGTGGGTCAGGAATGGGGCCCGACGTGTTGCCCAGCCTGGCTCCTAAGGTACTTGAAGGCTTGAGCCATTGTCTTTTTGGTTCGAAGAACAGCCGAGCGTTCACGTCCTTTTTTCTTTTGTCCTAAGCATCGCAAGCCATAAGACCGTAGTTAAGGGTAGCAAGTTATGCAGGTTATGAGGGCATAACAACAGCACGTCCTTTCCCCTGGTGATACCTAGAAACCATTAGGAACTCAAATCGAGCCATTTACCGGGAAGAGCCGCAGTTGACTCCAGTCATCTAGCCCTTCCATCGCGAGATGTGATGTACCAGGCTCCGCACGCAGACTTACAATCATAGCGCCGGGAATGTCCAAGTTCAGCGACTGTCCACTACTTGCAACCAAAGAAAGAAGAAGTACCCAAAAAAAAAAAAAAAAAAAAAAAAAAAAAAGGAAGAAGAGAAAAGAAGAGAAAAGAAAAGGAAAAAAAAGAAAGAAAGATCAAATACGACGAATCCGGCGGTTTGGCGGTTTTGCTCAAGTTTCAAGTCTACGAGTCGCAGGAATCTGTTCATCCAAGTCAAGCCACCATCTCCGCCCGATGACATACCGGCCGCGGAGGTAGCTAGAGTGACAAGAGGGGAGCGCGGACACTCTCTGCCCAACGACTGAGTGTCTAAATTTGACCTTCCAACGCTTGATACTTGCATCCAATACCAGAGACTGGAGCTACACCCACCCCGAACCCAGCTGAAGTTCGGGCAGGCATAACCCCCAACATCTTTAGACTTGGCTTTGCCAACGCTTCCACTTCCACTTCCACGTCCATGCCCACGTCCACCTGTCGTCATCGTCGTAGATATGCGATCGAATGGGAAGCCTTTTTTTTTCGACAATCCGGCGAGAGCCCAATATTAGGTCTTTTCAATGGAAGCAAATCTCGCGGATGAATGGGTGGGTTAATTTCAGACGAGGGTGGGAAGAGGCACCGCCCTAGCCGCCACAATATGATGTTAAGTTGCGGATAGATGTGTAAACAGCCAAGGCTTGAAAATTTTGCTCCAGGGCCATCTCCTGGATTGGGACTTTCTACCATATTCCCTCGCTGTCTATGCCCAGGTTGAACTGTCACTATGACCATCTATTTGTCCGGTCCTTGGTCAGTCGTGTCAAACTGCATTTTTGTGTTCAGTTGATATCATCCTTGTCCTTGAGCCCGACGCCGAGACTATAGACTATACTTAGGCTCTAGTGCTACCCACTTCCAGGCTATATGGATTGCACATGAACAGGTACTTTGAGACGAGAGCTTCACCAAGTTTGGGCACTTACCACTTCACTGCCTTCAGCAACCCAACTCTCACGGCTCTACCCGCGAAGGTTGATCTTCTCGCCACCTTAGTGTCTTCATTACCCTCCCCTTTCGACTGTTAGATTGCTCAACGCCCACTACATTATGCATACCTTTCGTTTATTGACCTTGCTTGCTGTTACTTTGTTTGTCTTGTCCCATCCGCTCTGCCCTCTGACAGTTTCACGTCCTCCATAGCCATGTCTCGCCCAGTATACGACTTTAGAGCATGCAATTATGCTCTCCATGCCATCATGAATGGGACCCTCACTGTCAAAGGAGTTTCAAATGCGACGCTTGCCGCGTCAGGCTGGATCTGGGACGGGCCGATTGGTGGCCTGAAGAAAAGTTTTCCGCGGCACTTGATCACCGCAATCACGTACAAAGGCATGTAATGTGTGGGCTGATAATCTGCATTCGTCCTAGCTACCTACTAGCTATTCAGATAGGGGGAGTGCCCGGAACTTCTGTGTGCTCTGCAGAAGTATTATCCTCTCTATCGCGAATGCGTCCTCTGGTCTTACCTTCCGGCTAACACAATTGCGAATCAAAATTCACTAGGCTGCGTCGAGCTCTGCGGCAACATAACTCAGATGAACCCCCCAAAAACCGTCCTCAACATCATCGCAACCTGGGTCTTCCCCCTGTCCATCCTCTTCTCCCTCCCCTTCGAATCTTCGAGTGGCAATGGGTCTCAAGGCATTTTCTCCGTGGTTTCCGCTTGGCTGGGATCCCCTCAGACATCTCTTACGGCCATCATCTTCAACTCTGACCAGACTCGACTATGCCATCAACGGTCGAAAGCGAGAGATCGGATATGGGCGGACGCATACTATGCATTGAGCTGTTTTAACCAATTTGAACTTCCAACAGGGAATAAGAACGACAAAGTCGTCTGCGAAGATTTCATGAAAGCACTTGTTTATGGGCTATTTAGACCATTGAAGGACGGCGAGACGGACTCCGAGGAAAATATTGACATTGAGTATACAAGGCAACTCCTCAAAGCTCTTGCGAATCAGCTTCGCAGTTTAAGACGTCGGGGTGTCGTTCCGATGCTCCTTAGCCTCCTGGCATTCTTGACAACTTTCATCTTCTCCGTCGTGCTCGCCTTTTCCGATGTCAATGGGGACCTTGACGTAACGCCTTTGACCATTGGCCTTTTATATTCCTGGCTGCCACTGCTCGTTATTTATAGTATCATGGACCGGAATCCTGTCTCGTCCGAGAGAACGGCGTGAGATTTCCATTTTACTGGTATGCCATTGCACCGCTAGGCTAACAAGGACTACAGAGACTTGATATCACGCTGGCTATACAATGTCAACGCAGTTCGTGAGTGGAGGAATGCCAGGCGACCGACAGACATGCCCGAGCCCGCCTGGTGGGAAAATACGGGCGACATCCCGAAGAAATTCAGAGTGGGCGAGTTCATCGGTCAGGGCCGCCGCATGATACACTGCGGATTGGTACACGCAGTAGCCTCTACCATCCCAGAGCCTGACCGGGTGGAAGACACCCCCTTGTCTGGCAGCATAGGAGACACGGGCCCCCTCGCGCAGTACGATGTGAAAGCGTACGCTGTCGTCAGCCGGTTGAAAGGACGCCGCCCAGGCCTATGGTGGTCTGCTGCGGTTTGTGCAGAGTGCCTCGTCTGCACCCAGATCATGATGGCCGTTCTGGTCGCCATAACTTCCCCCACTGTTGGAATTGGGTGTTGGTCTGGAAGTTTTATTACTTATGGTGTTTTGACCAGCGTTAGCTGGGCATTTAATTTGTTTCAAAGGGCGCCTGGACCTTGGGGTCGGTTCTTTTGCCACATGGCGAATATCCTAGCGCTTGTTTTTCTAGTTTTCATTACTGGCCTCATTGTATGTTTCATTTCTGTTCTGTCCGCCATTCATCTCTTGTTGTCTCTTGTTGGCAGCGTATTGACTTTTCTTCGCTTTTCTTTCCCGTCTTCCCTCCTCCAGCTATCAGGTGCACTGAACAACTGCATCTGCAACATTTCGTGGCCAGGCCACTCCCCAAAGGGCGGCTACATGATTTTTGAAGATTTTGATTTCATCCGAGATAATTTTAATGTTGTCTTCCCTTGGGTTGTTGCCTGCATTGTCGGATTCCTCGTCGTCGTCATCGTTTTATTTCGGTCGTTGTTTTGGTGGCTTACATGCAAGCCTCTTTGGGATGAACCGTTGATTGCACCCCGGGAGAGGGAGAGGGAGAGGAAGGCTCAGGTTAAGGCTAGTACGGCTTGGTTGCAGTAACATGAACTTGAATGGACCAAAGGTAGATCTTTTAACCGAGGGGTTAGACGACCAATAGCCATTTCGCGGAATAGATATTGCACTTCCATGTGGTTGGGGGAATAGATCTTAGATCTTCGCGGAAGGTTATGCAGCTCCGTGGAAAGTGTTGACTGGATGTGGTCGATTTCTCATTCTGCTGCTCGCTGTGCCCATTGGCAGGCATTGACGGACATCATGAGGCATGGCTGCCGCTTCTGATCGTATAATCTGTTTTCAAACGCATTGCGAGGTTCCGCCCTATCATGTGCGTCACCTAGTCACGCAAATAAGCCCACGCCATATCCTGTTATCTCTATTCTTACATTGGCGAACCGCATATATCTCCCCTTAATTTAATTTTCCGAAGTCATAGTACAAAACTATATCCACCCTAATACTTTACAGCGGCTCTTTCTGAATGCTCATTGTTCTATGCGCCCTTCGGATCCCTATCGTATGTTACAGTAATCTTGGGGTGCTTCCACACTTTGTTATGGCCATCCCCTTCTCGCAATATATCCCGCTGACTCTCCGCGTCGTCACTGTCGAGTCGGATCGCGTCTGCGGTATATCCGTGAGCACGTCGGTTCAGTTCGAAATCGGTCGTGCCACCAGAGCGGATTCCACCTGGAGCGTACGCGGCGGATGGCCCACGTTTACCCGAGCTGTGTCCATGACTGCCGAACGGTAGATACTTGACGAGTGGACGGAGAGCGACTAAGGAGGCTGTCAAGATGGATACGCCGAACTCAAGGACCGAGCTAAGAACAGTCGACTGTTAGTGCAACTGAGGGGGCAGGGAAATATCAATATAGATAATGAAGAGAAGAGAAGTGGAAAAAGACCATACTAGATAAAAGACTCGAGTTGGAGGGATAAGGAAGTTTCAACGTCGGTGGCGTTGACGATCAGGACCAAACTGCTAAGCCGTACGACACTGATGACTACAGTCACAGCACCGAGTCCCAGCAAGAACATAATAGCTATCTTGGTTCTCCGGCCGATCTGCAAGCCCTTGAGCAAAAAGATGGGCAGCACTGCATAGAAAAGCGCCGAAGCGATATCCAGAGCCGACACGGCAAAGCCCAAGCCCGCCAAGTGTTTGAATGACATGCACTTCCCCGTGCCGTCGCCCCATACCACTTTCAGCGGGATGCACTGTAACACGTCGACCAGAAGGCAGCCCAGGGCGTAGATGGCGATGATCACCATGGATATTATTAGCATGCGCTTTACACGCGGCATGCTCTCCTGGACGATGCGGAGCAGGACCAGGGCGACGCTGATACGCACAATGGGAAAGCTGGCAACGTAGGTGATCTGGGAGACCGTGAAGTACTTGGAGGCGTTCATTTGGTCGTAGTTGCGGAGGGTGGCGATCACAGCCGGGTCGGTGATGCCGAAGCCGTATGAGAGAGCCGTGAAACAGAAGGCGCACATGATGATGAAGCCTGCGAGGGCTACGAGGATAACATAGTCATCGTATCCAAGTTTGGTTAGTTTGATGCGCACCCAGAGGCGCGCGATCACGACGACGAGATCGATGGCGATGAAGGCCGCCATCACGGCGCGGAGAGAGTCGAGCCTCGACATGGTTGGTGGCCGGATTTCGTCGTAGATTCTGCCCCAGTGAAAGGGAGAAGAGGAAAAAAAACCAAAGAAAAAAAAAGTGAAAGAAAGAAAAGAAAGTGTGGGGAAATGAAGGCTCGAAAGTTCGCCAACCGCCCGGCTGTTGGTCTGTTTAAGGTGAGACCAAAATCGCCTGCTTACTTGTTATACTCGGCGTCCTAGTACAGAGCCCCATCTGCTGGCCCCCTAAAGAGGTTCAGGTCGCTCCTGAAAGAGCCTTGTGGAAGGTGTGTACAAGGGGCCAAGCCATACCTCGCAAATACCTCCGAAGCAGTCGCCGGAGTCCAAGGTCTGTGATATCACTGGGATTACCTTGCCCTGTCGAGCGGGTTATGGGGATTGGCAAGTGGGTGGTCCGCACTCGGGGGCTAACATGGCAGGGGAGTAACAGGTGGTGTGATAACGCGTGAGCCAACGGCGCAGGGCATGCTCAAAACTGAAAACTCTTTTGTTTGGAAGCAGGCAATGCCTCGCCCCGAAAGATATTCGCGGCCTCTTGGCGAATTCTCTCCACTTCCAAGCATACGAAGTAATACACCGGTACTTCGTAGTTTCGAGGACATTGTGTTATGTAGTCGGGCGGAGGCTTGCCCCTATAATTTTACATACATTACCATACTCCCGAACCCGGCATTCCTTCCGCGGTCCCCGGATGTGACCCCACCCGCTTCAAGCCAAAATGGATCGCCAGAGCTAAGGCCGCCCCCGGTAAAGCATTGAAGCGAGGCATCTAGGGTACCCGGTTAGGGGCTAGAAACCGCTGCAACGGCACCGTTGAATGGCAGGGGCCAGGCCATGATCATGGCTGCTTTGAGCTAGGCCACGCCTTATCACAGAATAATCTGCATGCTGCAATTACCACCGAGAGTCGTACTATACTAACCGAGCCACCCCTTGCCGGATTCCTTCCTCCCGCATTCAACGGCGGAGGCTACAATAATTGTCGAAGATGTCTAGATAGAGAGCTACTTATAAAAGGATGATCCATCCTGGGCCCCTGGGTATTTCATTATATCCTGGTCATGAGCATCAGCATGAAGACAAAAGACTGATTCAGGGTTGCGTTGGGGGCGGAGACTACAAGCAAATTCTGGCGGATCTAAGTGGGGAATCGTCCCTTTCTTCTTCTCCTGCAGAAACTTATAAGAGGAGTTGGACGAATGTCGAGGAATGTCGAGTGTACAGGAGAGAAGGTCGAAGTGAACGAACGTACGCAATTTCTTCCACTGAAGAGAAAAACAACAACAAAAAGACGAATCAAAAAGAACCAGGGCCGGGTTTTCCAGAGTGCCGAAGTTGATCCAATCAAATCGACTCATCTGCCACAACATTCCACATTCCCCAGGATTTATCAACAAGACAGTGTAAGGCAAGCAATGGCTGAGATTGAGGCTCTTCCCCGCGTACCTGAAGATGTTACTGCAGAATGGCTCTGTCCCAAGATAGGCCTTAAGAAGGCTACCATCGCAAATAAGGGGCTCGTCGCGGGCACAGCCACCTTGGTCCTCATGACTGTCACGCCGGAAGAAATTGAGGGCGACGGTGACGACGACAGCGCCGACAAGAAGCCACTAGATCTCTGCGTCAAGGGAGGCTTCAACCCAACCATGCTGTCACAATTCCCCTTCGTCCTGTCCCTCTATTCACGCGAGGTCGACTTCTACAACAATGTGGCTCCCAAGGTCCCCCACTTGAGCCTGCCGCGGAAGCTCTGGGCCCACAAGAACACTGAGAATGCCGTCGTGGTTATGGAAGACATTGCTGCCACGAATGGCTTCGTTTTTGCCGACCCCGTCGACACTTGGCCGGTCGACCGCGTCAAACTCGTGGTCGAGCAGTTCGCCGCCCTCCACGCTGCCACCTGGGGAACCCAGGCGGCTGACGCACCCTGGTTGGACAAGCACTACGAGGCGTCAGTTCTGGGGCTGTGCGCCATGTGGGACGCTATCGTGCTGGCCGACGACCGGCCGCCGGTACCCGAGTACATGAAGGACCAGCGGCGGATGACGGCCGCTATCGAGAAGTGGTTTGCCACGCGGAACCCGAAGTTCCAGTGCATCCTGCACGGCGACGCTCATCTCGGCAACACGGCGTGGTCGGACAAGACCAAGACGCCAATCGTTGTCGACTGGCAGATCATCCACCTAGGATCGAACTTCACCGACATTGCCTACTTTGTCATGACCGCCCTGACGGTCGAAGACCGCCGAGAGCATGAGATGACTATCCTGGACCACTATCTCGAGAAGTTGCACGAATTCGGCGGGCCGAAGCTGTCGAGAGAGGATCCTGAAGTGATGGAGGAGTATCGCAAATCTTTGATGGCCGGATACTCCTGGGTCCTCTGCCCTTACACCATGCAGAAGAAGGAACGAGTGTGGGCTATTGTCTCGCGTTTAGTGCCGGCCATGGAGGATCACGACCCGGTTTCGCTCTTGGAGAGAGAGTAGGATGGATGGCTGAATCTAGCTTCATAGGGGTTGCTTCTTTTCCAGAAACCTAATGATACCGTCCAATTTTGTTCCCAAATAACGAGTAGGGAGTTGTTTGGAGTTGCTATTAATACTAGCTATCGCGGACTAGGTTATATGAAAGCTTAATATATTCGTCCTACCTAAGTCGTAGAGACAGTTGGCCGGAACTGTTTCTTTCTTTGACTCTTAAAAACTAGCTATCCAACTTCAGAGTCAGCCCGCGGATGCGTCCGTTAGAATACCTCAGTACTTTGCATTTGATGAGGATATGTGATATGTGAGTATCAAATGCTACTCCGATGGCTAAATGATGCCTCTCGTCGGTTGCATCTTCATCTCTAGAGAAGATATCCGATGACGCTCCGGTTGACGGAGCTGCCCAAGAGGATCATGGCACGCCAGAACTCCAGCCCCGAGAGTAACTCTAGGATTGAGATTACCAGTTCTCGAGTTCCTGCGGAAAATGGTAATAGTCTTTATTAATCATACGTCAGTTTCTTCTCGACCTTGACTGTGGTAGAAGGCAATAAAATCAGCGAACATCATGGCCCGAGATTTCGTTCCGTGAAATGTAGCGTACTCATCGGCATTGCTGGCAAACACACAACATCAGTTCGCGTCCAAGATTTATAGCAAAGCTGAAGGCCGTAAAATGCGAAGAAAGTTAAGAAGCACTTTACGAAATATTATGGGCGTATGGGGGCGGTGATATCTGCAGTATTACCACCTTGGGCGCAGTTTGGTATCCATGCCATAGATTTCTGTATCGGGAGTAATAGACCTTTAGGATCCGGCCACATTGATCATATTACTACCAAGCCGTACTTGATTACGTTATAACTTACTATCCGCCTGATGCGTCTGATAGCTCTTTACCGGAAAGAAAGTATTTGGTGTCGCTGACGCTTGATGTCGAACTCGAAGCCTGCAAGTAAGCCCAATGACATCTCAAGAGATGGTAACACAACCGCAGCTCCCAGCACCTGTATGTTCGAATTTGTCAGAGTGGCAAAACAATAGAACTCTAGGTGCGCTATGTGTTCTTTTCGTTTCAGCGGGTCACGCGTCGCGCGTCGCGTCGGCGTCTTCCCTCCTCCATCTCCAGTCGACTCGCGATCTCACTTCACCGAAAAACATCTTCACTACATGCCAACGTCTCGTATTTAACCCATCCAATCGCTGCTATGGAGGGCAAAGAAACAGGCTCCGTCCAAGGTTCCCAGGGATCTTCGATTCATTCTTGCCCTCTATGCCCATCGATACTCGTGGAGATGGACAGTTCGAATCGAGTGTCCCAGGGATACCGAAGTTTCGGATTCCGATTTGCGAGACACCATGGGCTAGCAGGTTGCGAATTTTTCTCCAACAGGTTCAAGCACCTAGATCCAAACACTACCCTAGACATCGAAGAGACAATCCTTCATGTTGTCGGAATCAACGAAAAGGACGGTTACTTTTGGATCCATTGCTGGTGGGTAGATGACGATGGGACATATTACGGACGAGACGAAATTGACGACGGCGTGACCATGGTGATGACGCCTGCGGGCAAGTATAAGGGATGCTCTACGGCCAGGAATAGCATACTGACATTTAGAATAGACCATGTCGCCGCCAAACACATCACCAAAGGGCGACTACCTCAGGTCGAGACATTGTGCCAAGACAATATTCAGATGCTGAGAGATTGGTTCAAAACTTGTCGAAGGGACCATCCGCACTGCCAGCGCATTCGGCAATCTCTAACCCTCGACAACTTCCCTCGATACCTCCTTGACATTTCAACATCGAGAGACGGTCGAGTCCGCTTAATTGAGACTAGGGACGCTTCTAAAGTCATTCCTTACGCTGCTCTAAGTTACTGTTGGGGGGACGATAGAAAGACAACGCGCCGACAGAAGACCTTGAAACAAAACATACAGGATAGACTAAAAGGGTTTCCTCTTGAGGACCTTCCAAGTACCCTTCGTGATGCTGTCCAAGTCTGTCAAATACTTAGGCTGAAATACCTATGGATTGATGCGGTCTGCATAGTCCAGGACGGCGATGACTTGGGGAGTGAGATGCGAGAGATGGTCCAGGCGCACAGCGCAGCTTCCCTTGTGATTAGCGCAGCCAGGGCATCCCACGCAGATGAAGGCTTTTTGGGACGCCGAATTCAGGACTACGAACAATATCTGCTCCCAATTTGTTTTCAGTTTCCAGACGGCAGCACAGAGATTGGTCAAGTCAGAGTAACTCAGCATATCTTGCATGACAAGTTAGAGCCTATTGACATCAGGGGCTGGACACTGCAAGAGCACGACGCCGCTGTGAGGCTTGTGCGTTTCGAGTCTGAGGAACTTGTGTGGAGATGTCCGACGACGAGTAAAAACGAGAGTGATATCCGGAAGTGCACCCCCAGATTCTTTGACGCTCAGAGTAAGGACGGCCGCTTCAGATATTTCTTGGACCTAGTTGAAAAGTACTCGCGCCGCGAGACGACCAAGGTAAACGACCGGCTAAACGCGTTCGAAAGCTGTGCGATGAAGATAATCGAGATGATGAAATTGAGTTCGGATGACTATCAAGCTGGCCTCTTAAAACCAGACCTTCGCAGGCAACTTCTATGGAGCTGCGACCACGACCATCCGCGACGGCTGTCGGAGGATCCCGGGTCCTTCCCCTCCTGGACATGGGCTAGTGCGGATCTACCAGTCCTGTGGAATAACCAAGGCGAGATTCTGCAGGACCTTGACTGGGGAGATTTTACCTGTGAGGTCGAGAACTGCACGGCTGACCTGCTAGATCCAGACCGTCCTTTCGGCAGTGTCACTGGCGGTTGCTTGACCGTACGGGCATATGCCCCCGACGCCCTTTGGACGGGCACATGCCTTGTAGAACTGCCAAAGTTCGTACGCCGGAGCCCTCGACTGAGACAGGATGGATCGGGATATCAGAAGACGAAGACAAGCAGCTTCTCATCCAGAGAAGGGGTTAAATCCCGAAGTCACTCCAGACTGCAGGCGGGATCTCCCGGAGCTCAAACTCTGCCTTTCCATCCAATCTGGGATACGCCACAGCCTCCACCGCGCCAGGTTGTCAAGTGTTTGGAGATTCGGTCAGGTGAAGGAAATATAGGTCACGCGTACGGGATCGTGCTTGTGTTTGCAGATAAGGCTGCGTCTCCCGAGGCGTATCAATCTGTAGGAGAGGGTCCGTTTAAGCGAATCGGATATTTCAAGTTCATTCACCCTACTAAGGACGGGGTCTTTCCTCGGAAGATTACTTACAATTGGCTGCATCAAGCTAAGAAAGAGAGGGTGTATATCATCTAGGCTGATTTTTCTTTCCCTTTTCTTTGCTTTTTTTTTTTTTTTTTTTTTTTTTTTTTTTCTTTTTTTTTTTTTTTCTTGGGTGATTTTGCACAGGCAGGGAGTTGGATTTGGCGACACCAGATTCCCCAATTTGATGGTTTTACCGATAGTTGTAGCAAAATTTGTCAAATGGGAGGAGGATCTAATTTCTGTCGTGGTTTAAATAGCGTGGCATCAAATACCATAACTCATGAGTGTATGCGTGTTAAGGCAGGATTAAGTGCGGGAGTGCCGATCCAGCCAGCCACCTGAGCGTGCCAACTCAGCTTTCTATATTAGAGCAGATGTCCACTCCTGCGATGCTGTTAACATGGCGGTACCGTCCATGAGTGCAATGTTGTCCAGCTGCCCGGGAAGTACTAAGAGGATTTCGTGATTAGGCCAACCGAGCACTTTAAACATCCAGGACGTGTACACATAGATAGGGGCGACTCTTCGAAGATGTAGTCTCTGTTCGGAGAGCCGCTCGTCATAACCAACTAGACGGCCACCCAATTTCACATGATCTCGACTATAGAATGTGGCTTCTACAATGTTTGGATCCAGGCCAATGTGGTGTTGATAGTTGATATCACCACCAATATACGCTAGGTTGCAATAGCTGCATTCCCTAGTACTGCCTATTGCTCAAATCGAGTCTCGACGGCATGTAACGACTTTCTACCAGTGCATTGTGAGGCTTTGCATTACGGTCCTCGACATTCTTCTCCCGATATCGATAAGACCCTATGCATATCAGGCGAGAGTCGATATCCTGGTTTCCACCACACTCGCGATTTGCCCGATTGAGGCAACAAACAGGGTTCACCTCTGCGTTTAACTCTCTGACTGAATGCAGCATCTGATGCAAAGAAAGAGCGGGGAATATTCGGTTGTTGGCGAACGGAGGCTATAATGCTAGCCCTCCCTATCGAGACGGGCCGGGAGCAAATATGCCGATGATCCCGCCTAGACCGCATTAGGCTCGGAGGTCCAGCGGCCTCAAATTGCTTCCTTTTCAACTAGATCGGCCTAAAGGATGTAGGAAAGCGGAAAGTTTCAACAGCTCCTTGGCGTTGCCTGTTCTCAGGGAAATGTCATTCTCTAGGTACATCGTGATGCTGCGTTCTTGCTCTAACAACATCAGGAAACATCCTACACGTCGGTGTTGCGTCCACCACCTCGGGCTGGGCTAGGAGCAACAATACTCGGAGGGCAGAATGCACTGCTTCCGCAGCGGGTTGCCGAGCTTTGCATTTGAACAGACACGGCCTAGCCCAACACTATATAACTTGGATGTGGCATGATTGAGGTCGTGCATCGGGATTATTAGTATCGGAGAAGTGTCGAGATTACATATTAATACTAGACAAATATTGGCAGTTGATGCTCGCCACTACGTCTGTCGCCTCAACTCCCGATGGCCATCTGATTGACACTTGACCACTTGCATTGCAGCATGCTTCGTGGCAATAATATTTGAGCACTTTCCACTCTCAAATACTATATTCTACTTGTACTCTCCAGACCCCACACAGATACCGAATTTGCTCCAAGCCCCCGCGGGTCTCTTCCCCCTCCCTTCCTCTACAAAGTGCTATTAATGTTGTTGATTGTTTAAAGAAACGATCAGCAGGGCTCTAAACGGGGCGTAGGGGAGAAATGCCGTTAAACGAGCGAATAAGCCCTCCCATTGATATCATAGCCGGCGCGCCTGAAGTCGTCTTGATCTCTCCCCACAAAAACTGACCAGCCGCTGACCGCGGCATTCCGCCGATTGGTGAAGAAGCCCCATCTCGAGAGTAGCCTGGTTCATTTTTAACTTGGATGCACTCTACCATAAGTAGTGCTCTCTACATGGGAAACTCGAGAGTGGGATGGCATTAAACAGAGCGAGGGGGAGAGATGTGTGTTTATGTGAGAGAAAGTAAAACTAGGGAGATAGAAGAAAAGGAAGAAAGGAAAATTCTCCGTACTTGCTCGGCAATATGAAAAGCCAAAGAGGGAGCTAGGGTACTTGCCGGACAGATCTCCAGTAGTTCGTCTCCGCACACGACGGTTCTCCAACATATGCTCACGGAACCCAGCGGCCAAGTTCATTTCGACCATCAAACCCGCTTCTGCCGTGGAGCCAGGGCTGTTCACGCGACTAAATTGACGGGTCTTTGATGAGTTTCCCCACAAATATTGTCAAAACAGGGAATTATTATTAAAGATAACAGCACCCATGCCTCGTGGCTGGGAGCGGAGCTCTAGTGGTTGACTATTTTGTTTGAGAGGAGCGTCCTTGGATTTCACCAAGTTCGCCGTCCAAGTCATCGTGAAAGCCGAACTGCCAACATGGGCTCATGGAGAGCTCTATGGCTGCCCCTCGCGGGAGCTCTGCTCTTTGGCAACGCCAATGCCGCCGTCTTTTCCTTTGAATCCACCGATGTCCCCATGACTTACATGGTGGAGTTTGTCAATGACTATGTATTGCGCCCTTCATCCCCCCCTTCTTTGCGCGTGTCTTTTTGCCCAAAACTACGATTAGAAATTGTAGTAGAGCATCTAAAGAGAGGAAAGAAGAAAACAAAAACCAAAACCAAAAAAAGAAAAGAAATGCGTATTCGGGTGCCTTTCTAGGACATTGGATTCTAACGTCATGATTTATTCTATTAGGACGTCGGATCCTTTTACGCGAAGCTCGGAGAGGAGAACATCCCCGCTACATCGAGGTTGAACCTGACCTACTCTCTCTTCAAAGGCGCCTCCTTCCAGCTTGGGGAGGGCTCCAGCAAGGGCAGCGTACCGAACCGAATTGCGAAGCTTCCGATGGTCAAGAAGATTTGGCCTGTGCAAGTCGGCCGCATTCCAGACGACGAGCTCGGTTGGGACACCGGATATATCGGTGCTCTAGGTCCTACCATCCAACGGCGCCAGGATGGCGGGGGCGCACCGGATGTCACGGACGTTTTCGCCCCCCATGTTATGACCCAGGTTGACAAGCTAAGGGCGGCCGGTATAACGGGCAAGGGCATCAAGATTGGCATGGTGGACACCGGCGTGGATTACAAACACCCAGCTCTGGGTGGATGCTTCGGCGAGGGCTGCCTTGTTGCGTACGGCAAAGACTTTGTCGGCGACAACTACGATGAGAACGCCCTCAAGGTCCCGGAGCCCGACGATGACCCTTGGGACCACTGCAATGGCCACGGCACCCATATTGCGGGTATCATAGCGGCGCGTGAAAATGAGTTGGGATTCACCGGTGTAGCTCCGGGTGTGACGCTTGGTTCATATCGGGTTTCTAGCTGCCGTGGTTATGTCCATACGGATCTCTACGTCGCCGGTTTCAACCAGGCCTTTGAAGATAAGAACGACATTATCACAACCTCGACGATATTCCCATCCGAGTGGTCCGAGGATGCCGTTGCTGTCGTGTGTGAGCGAATCTCTAAAGCCGGAATTCCTTGCATTGCCCCCATTGGAAACGCTGGCCTCAACGGCCTCTTCTCCACCGGAAGCCCTGCCGTTGGCCACGGTGTGACGGCCGTTGCCAGTGTTACTAACCTAGACCTACCCATGGTTATGAAGAAAGCCATGTACACTACCGAAGACGGTAAGGACCATTCTTTTGGCTTCTACCCGGGTCGGTTCGGGGATTACAAGACCATCACCAAGGACTTGTGGCTCCTCGATGATGATGCGACAGTAGCCAGCGACTGCACTAAACTTGCAGGAGATGTCCCCGACCTTTCGAAGTACATCGTCCTAGCTAGCATGGAAGGGTGCACCCCGGAGCAAAAGGCTGCCATGATTATGGAATATGCGTGGGTGGGAAACAGAAACCTCCTGTTCTATAGCAGCAATTTCACGTAAGGAGAAGTCACGAGGCCTAGCCTCCCATCCCCAGAGATAAATTCCGCCCAGCTAACTTCGAGAAAACCTAGGACGGTGGAGCTTAATGTTTACCCCAAAGCCGTCGACGGGCTAGGGATGGTGACTCAGGACCAGGGCAAAGACTGGGTCGAGAGGTTGAAGGCCGGAGAGACTGTCACCGCACACATGACAGCAGTTGGCGCCGCCGAGAACATTATCATCAGCGCCACAAATGACGCCAGTCGCGGATATCTCCAGATGTCGTCTTCATGGGGCCTCGGGCTGGAATTGGACATCAAGCCGCAATTTGCTGCCCCCGGAGGTAATATCCTTTCGACCTATCTGACGAACAGAGGAAATTACACTGTCATGTCTGGGACTTCAATGGCCAGTCCATTCATTGCCGGTGTCTATGCTCTGATCGCCGAAGCTCGGGGCACTCTCGACCCCGACGAAATCAGAAATGTTCTCGCCTCGACCGCCAATCCTAACTTATGGTGGGACGGCAAAGGCCTGCATGATATTCTCGCGCCGGTGGCGCAGCAGGGTGCCGGTCTGGTCCAGGCCTACGATGCCGCCTTTGTAAAAACGCTCATCAACACCGCAGGTATTTCCTTCAACGACACTGACAATTTCGTCCCGGAAGCCAACTTTACGATCCAAAACACGAGTGATGAAGAAGTGAAGTATGCTCTGAGCCACGTCAAGGCCGCCACGGTGTACGCCTATAACGAAAACAGCACTCAACTTGCGCCGTTCCCCAACCCAACTGTGGATGAAGCAGCGACTCTGGACTTTTCCGAGGACAGTGTTACGATCCCTGCTGGGGGATCGGCCAATATCGTTGTCACTCCTACACCACCGCAGGGAGTTGACCCATCTCGGTTTGCTATGTATAGTGGTTATATCGCCATCAACGGTACCAATGGCGAGAATCTATCGATCCCCTATATTGGACTTGTCGGAAGCATGCGTAATGTTAAAATCTTCGATTTGAACCCAAACAACACATTCCTTCAATATTGGGATGCTGGGCACCGGTTGACACCGCTCCCGGCCAACACTACGTACACATTCCCCAAACCAGCGGGCGAGCCGAATTCAAACCCGGACCGTCTATTGCCGTACGTCTCGGCCATGTTCAACCGCCCTGCTGGCACGGCAGCCCTCTACGTCTATGTCGCGGCACTTGACGATACCACTACACTCAAGACAACGGAATTCAAGGGATCCCAGGTGGTAGGTTTGGTTCCTGGGTACCCTCAAGAGTTTGTTCCACACGGAAAGGCCGAGATCGCCTTTACTGGCATGCTGGCAGATGGGACCGTTGTACCTCCGGGAAGATACCAGTTCGTCTTTAAGGCTCTGAAGATTTTGGGAAATCGGGAGAACGATGATGACTGGGAGACGGTGACTCTTGGCCCCTTTACACTTGAGTATGGCGAGGCGACGCTTTTGCCGGTTGATGATGGATTCCCGCTTCCGATTGACTTTGGGAAATGAGTTCTCGGGTGGATGGGGACAGGATGCATTAGAGACTGAGCACATTCAGGCTTTTGTACATATGAGTATGCCGTATATTTTTCTTCATTTTCTTGGAATACTTCGGACTTCTACCACTGCATGTCTCTTTCGTGGAATCGTAACCTACCAAGGCGTAGTATCTCCCGAAAAAATGACAGATACGTGTGATTCAGTGAACTTGTCTCTTGAGACTATGCTTCATCTGTATGTCATGTCTCCTCGGCAATGTTGCACATAGTCACGTTGGCATCCTGCACAAACCTTGTTGAAGCTATATTCTCTTCCGTGCCTGTCCCGGATCCCTCACTCATCCCTTTGGAAGCAGAGGGCCCACTTTTCGTCTTGTTCAGGCTCTGGCCAGAATCTAAAGTATTATTTCTACTAATTATTTAGCCAAATAAGAACCCCGAGCCGCGAGGTTGGTTCTTCCCTATTATACTTCCCCACCACACGCTGAAATCATTCCTTCTCATATCCTTCTGCGTCCAAATCTCTTGTAAGAGCTCTAGAGTTTCCACAAACATAGTATACCTGCAATTTCGATACCATTCTTCGCAATATTCCTTCACAAAGTTCCTCGAATACAAATCCATCGATTCCGAGCCGGCTAAGAAGACGGGGAAAAGGAGTTGCTTCGGCAGCGCTGCCACAGACCTACACGATCGAACGCTGTCCAAAAGGAGTCTCGAAAGAGATGTAACTTCCGGTAGCCTGGCGTTGCTAGTTCTGTCCCATTTGAGGACACGGGCAATGTACAACAAAAGAGCGTACTTCCAGGCGTTGCTGGCGTGGTAATAGTCGTGCCAACTGTGAATCATTTCGTCACTGTCCACGATGTCGTCGGCCATGGATTGGGGACTAAGCTCTCCCACGGTGTACTCCCGAATGGTTTGTTCCAGCTCATATACCCTCTTGGTGTCGAATCTTGCGTGTTTCATTTTGGAGACTTGTTCTTTTTCGCTCGCCAATAATATCAATTCTCCGAAATATTGAAACAGCTCCTTTGGCACTCCACATAGGGCGTGAATATCCCAAGATGGGTCATCCTCGCACGAAATTGCGGCATCGAGGTACGAGGACGGAAAAACGGAATCGGTGCGAGATAGTAGAGCGATAATACAATCCCACCTACAACTCGCCGTCAGCATTACATATTTTGATCAAGGTAGATTATATACTAACCAAACGAACATGCCCAGCCGCGCCCGGCAACGAGGCGAGGACACTACGGCATCGATTCCACCGATAGATTCAATCTTGTGATATGCGTCTGTCAAGCGCGCATTCCACGGACCAGCGGAAGAAATAAGTGTCTATTAAAATTTAGAATATGTTGAATCCGATGATCTTCATGCGGTATTATCGGCCGACTTACATCCAAGGCGAAGAGTACTAGCATGCTATCTAGTATCGACTTCTTAGAGTGTTTCGGAGCTGACTGCAGAGCCGCAGTATAAAGTTCCGTCGCAGATTTCTTGTATGTCACTACTTGTTGAGCAAGATCTTCTTCTTGAGGAGCATCGTTCATGCGGCTGACATGCTGAATCGAGATTGCAAGCACAGCGTGCGCCAAATACAGCGCGCCTTCCGTCTTGCAACGAAAGGGGTTTGAATGAAAGTCAAAGGTTAAAGGAAGAGTACAAAGTTCGGTATCATCTGGGAGGCCCTAATGTCAGCGATGATGAGTGACAGAGAATTAGTACAGGCTACTTACAGAACGCGAGCAATTGTGGCGCTCCCATGGCTGGTAGTGACGATATCGGCGGGGGGCAGATGGGCGGGGACCCGATATGTAACGAAAGGGGTCCGCTAATGCTGCTTTGCCACATAGAGTGAGGAGGTACTGATAATGACAACGTGCTGTCATCGACACTGAAGAAATCCCCGATGAGGGATGAATCAAGGTCGCCAAATATTGTCTCGAATGGGTCAGGGTCGCAAATATCCGCTGATGCCAAAGCAGATTCATGGCAGGAGTCCGCAATAGGTAGCAAGGATGGTTGTTCGGTCTCGGTGGGACTCGGCTCATTTGGTTGCTGTATGTCCCTGCTCTCTTCCATAATAAGCCTCGATTGTCTAGCGGCGGTCTTGTGAGCGGTCCGAGTCTTCGGGCTCTTTGGCGCCTGCTTTCGCTTTCTCTGAGGCCTCCCTGGCTTAAACACAAATGTGTGGTTCGTCGGGGTAATAGACTCCCATTCTTGACTCGAAGGCTTGATGCTCAGGGACCGACCCTTTTGCTTCCCCCTCGACGTGACACCGCTAAGCCACTGCAGCTCTCGCGGATACCCCTGGCATAGCTCTGAGGCCTGGGAGCAGGTGTCGCAGCGATGTCGAGATCTATCACAGGGCCGGCATGACGCGGAGCAATTGAAGCAATCCACGGCTTCTTGACGTCTGGGGATCGGTGTGAGGAAGTCCATCTCGTATTAACAGTAAGCAGATTGCTAGTATGCAAGTTCTCGTATCAGCTTCGCAGTGAGAGGAGATCAAGGTGAGAATGGACCAAAGCTGTGGGCAAACACCGTTAACAGCGTCCGTCCGTTCCGGGTTAGAGTTGAAGATTGCGAATCCACGTGTTCACCTCACGCAGATAAGGTCTTCCTTCTTCATTTGTTGTTACGGCTGGAGCTATTAATCCACTACTTCCTGTGCCCCCACTTCCCCGCATTTTGTTGTCCAATTGGAGATATAATTGCACCGATCCCAGAACTTGGAACCGGGATGAAGAACGGACCCGCCTTCGTTTCCAGAAATACCCCACTTCACGAGGTTGGCATTCAAGCATATTCAATTAGGAGGAACACCCTGTCATTCCCTCAACTGTTTCCTGCCAGAAGGCAAGGCAGGTGGGCAATTCGAGTCCCCATTCAGATTTAGCTAGGATAAATAATCATTCTCTTAGATACTTAGTTTAGAACTATATATCCCGGCCATTTGAGATATGGCGATAAAAGCGACACTCTTTACCGTCCTTGGCTTAGCTGGCCTTTCTCCCAGGCTTCTTCTCCAAGTTCTGCGTTCAGAGCAGCACGCCGCCTCTCATTCATCAACTCGAGATTGATTTTGGGCCCTGTGAATTTGCCCTTCTTCGTGGTGAACCAAATTATTACAACAATGGAAAGGAGGCCAACGAGGACAACGGAAACGTAACTCATGTTCTCGGGCGTCACAGGTCTAAAGACTGGGAAGCAATAGAGCACATCCAAAAAGACCACCCAGGCGACGGAGATGACATTGACGACAACGCCGAATTTACCAAGGCTGAAATAGCGCTCAGGCAGGACTTCGTCGCGGTTTCGGCAGAGCAGGATGGCTTGCGGAATAACGCACGAAGTCTGAAGAAACAGGATAGTAGTGTTAACCATGGCGGAAAATGCTGTTGTCGAACCCAGGAATATTAAACCGTAAATCTATATCGCACGAGTCTCGTTAATCAACGAGGCTCACGTCACCGATCTTGGGTATAGCCACCTACCGTAACGCAGGTTCCAGTGAGGAGCATTGAATTAGCCGGCATGTTGAAGACCGGGTGTACGACTTTCCAGAGCCCAGAAAACGGCATGGCTCCGTCTCGAGATATGGCCCAAATTGTTCGAGAAGCAGTCGTGCCTATTCCTCATCTCGTTAGAATACCAAGTTTCACGTACAGCTGGAGTTAATGTCAACTTGCCAACAGCTACTACACAGCCAAACATGCAAAAGGCGAAGAAGCCCAACAAAATTGACGCAGCAACATATGAGCCTGTTCCCTGGTAGTAGATTTCCATCAGAGGCATATCCGCGCTCAGGACAGCAGGAAGGTCTTTAATGGAGTAGATCAACGACGCTGCGAAGGGAAACGCCGTAAGTAGTCCCATGACCAGCGGCATCATGATAACTTTCGGTACGTGCTTGGAAGGGTTCGCGATCTCTTCGCAGAGATGAGCGCCACAGTCGCTACCCATGTAGCCGAATACCGCGTTGCCAACGGCGAGCAAGAACGTGAACCCTTCATTTGACCAGCCGCTCTGGGAGGTGGTATCCGTGAACATGAAGGACGGTGACGCATGGTTGTTTCGAGCAACAACAAATAGCGTAATCATGGTAGAACCAAGAGTTAAGACAGCCAGAACAAAGATGAGCTGGCTGTAGTAAGGGAGCAGCCTGGAACCCAGAATATTCATGGCCACAGACAGCCAAATCACACCAACGTATAGCAAGTACAGTTGCCAGCGTTGAGTTTCGAACGAATACCAGACCGAGGCTATTTGCATTATCATCGACGCAACGAAATTGGACACTGAGCCGATCGCCAGCCACCAGCCGAGGATACTCATCCATCCATTTCTATATGCATCAGCCAGGCTGTTAGAAGTTTTCGATTCATCTTATGCCATATCCTCCGGACTTACATGTACGACGCAAATGGCTTGTACTTCTCGCTCGCCACCATGAAAGACCAGTAGTACTGTGCCCCTGCCACGGGATAGGCAGAAGCCAACTCTGCCATTCCGGCAGAGACTATCAGGGTCATGACGCCGGCTACCAGCAGAGACCATAGAGCGCCAGCGCCCGAGGCTTCGGCCAGGCCAATGCCAATTGACGCTCCGGACCCGAGCCAGGTGCAGGTCAGGGTGAATGAGAGAGCGCCGAGAGACCAGATGGAAAACTGGCGGGGCATGGCTTGGGTATAGCCAGCGGCCTCGAGCTCGAGGACATCGATTTTGGCGGTGTTATCGGAGGAGCTACGTTGCGTCATGACTCATGAATAAAAAGTGTCTTGAAGGATTGGAAATGCAAAGAACATAGAGGAAGAGAAAATTCGATGTGCTGTATTCTCCTTATAGATACTCATGATGCTGGTTCCATTTCAGTCCCTCCTTGGCCACTCTAGAAGTAATATTGGTTTAGCAATATCGAGATAAGGGAGTGAGGGTGTAGATGACCCCTCCCCTGAATCCCAGGATCGCCTCAAACAAGATGTCACGAACCCGCTTTTCCGATTATCCTAGATAGGAAAATCCAAACAGATGAGGTTTGGCTTAGCTCCTCTTCTTCAGTCTACGTCCATTTTGGGATAAGCTCTAGGCACCATTTCAGGTCAACCCCACATTCCAACCCACCCAAAAAGAGCATCACCACTTCGTCAACGTGATTAGCCATCAGGATTAGGGTTAGAACGATCAGGACCTATTAACCGCAACGTCAGACCTGATCATCTGGTAGCAAGGGTGTGCAGTATTACCTATTCGGGCAATTGGCTAGTGAGGAGGCTTGAGAGGCGAGCGAGGGCAGATACACTTACGAAGTAGTAGAAGCCATGATTTCAGGAGAGACTGAAATGTCGCTCTATGTGGGTGATTGGTATCGAGGAAGTGTGTAGCTGTGAGATGTTGAATTTCCTGGGGATTAAAGCCCAAATCGCTTGCCTAAGGTTGCATAATTTCTTAAAATCGTCACTATTTGCAGATAAGCTTAAGGGCAATGAGTGCAAAGAGCCATGGTATTCGACCAGCGGCTGGCCGAAGCCATGAACATACAAAACGAGACGATAACAAAAGCCACCACATACACAATAATTCAGAAAGAAAATACTGCATTCACTATATACTCTGTTGGTCTTCTTCACAAGTGAGAATCTCGTCCAGTCCAACCAGCATCTTCAGCAATAATCTCAGCCGCACGTTCGCCAACCGCCAATACCGTCAGCATCAGATTCACCGTGATCATACTAGGAAAGACGCCGGCATCGGCGATTCGAAGATTCTTGATACCCCGGACCTTGAGCCGTGGATCTACCACAGCCATAGGATCCTTGTCGACGTCACCCATCTTAGTCGTGCAAGCTGGGTGGTAGATAGTATGGGAGGCTGCACGAGCATACTTGTTCAAATCCTCGTCAGAAGTAACGTTCGGGCCTGGAGCGATCTCTCGCTTGATCCAACTCTTGAAAGGCTGCGTTTCGGCCATCTTCCTGGATGCTTTAATACCCGCAACGAGAAGCTCCGCATCGTAGCCAGCAGGGTCCTCAAAGTATTTAAAGTCGAGCGCTGGCTTCTCGTTGGGATCGTTCGACTTCAAGTAGAGTCGCCCGCTTGTTTGCGGACGCAAAAGAACGGGCAAGATGCAGAACGGACGCTTTGGTCTTTCGTAGCCGAGTCGAGTGGTTTCATCGCACCAGTCAAGCTGCCACATATGCAGCTCAAGATCCGGGACGTTTCCGTCGTCGCCGGCCCAGTTGTACGGCTTGTGGCGGAGAAACGCAAGGACGTCCGAGTGCGTAGCTGTTTGACTTGGGACGTCTCTGTGAAGGTCAAAAACGACGAAGGTGCATGGGTGATCCTGTAGGTTTTCTCCTACGCCTGGGATGTCCTTGACAACGGGAACGTTAACGGACTCTAGCTGCTTCCTGGGGCCCAGTCCTGAGAGAAGCATGAGTCGAGGAGTATCAATGGATCCAGCACAGAGAATAATCTCCGTCGAAGCATGAACGGTGTGTTTCGTTCCATCTCGGGTAGTGACATCAACGCTGACAGCGACATCCCCTCGCACATTCACACGGGAGACCCAAGCATTGGTCAGAATAACCAAGTTTGGCCGCTCCTCCTCTCCTCGTAGAATAGGGTGAATGTAGGCGACACTAGCACTACTACGCCAGCCGTTATCCGGATTATAAGAGAGCGGAGTCCAGCCAACCGCCTGGGTCAACCCCGCCGAGGAAGAGATGGCGTTATTCAGATTGCTGACGTAGGGCAGGCCGAGAGCACGATGGGCGGATAGGATCCAGTCCTTGCTCAACTGGTTTTGATCTTGGGGGTGAGCTCGTGGACGAGTTGCAACTCGAAGACGGCGTTGCACTCGCTGGAACATATCAAACGACCAGCCCTTACAGCCCAGTTTTTCCCAGGTGTAAGCATCGTACTCCGGCGTACGAAATGAAACCATGTCATTGTGGCTCGAACACCCTCCAAGGATTTTGGCTCGAGACTGGATAATATGGCTGTTCCCTGTGATAACAAACGAGTCAGTACCAATGTGTAAGAAAATGATAGTCAGAAACACGAACCCATCGGCTGCTGAACGGACGGATATCTCATGTCCAATTCCGTTCCCAACATTTGGACACGGTCCTTGAGGACCAGTGCGCGACTATCTCCAACATCGCTTGGCCCGCCTTCGATGACGAGAATTCGCTTTTGAGGTAAGTATCCGGAAAGACGACTGGCAATCACACAGCCAGCTGTACCACCTCCGACGATAATGTAATCGAAACGGGCGGCGTCGCCAGTGGGAAGGTTGTCCGAAATACTCATAGTGGGATAAGGGAAGCAAGTCTGAGAAACAGAGTTGGCAGGGCAAGTGATAATATCAGAAATGAAGCTAGTCCAATACAGGCCGGACACACAGAAACAGTATGTGTGTTGAACTTGGATTGACGAGACACTCATTAATGCATTTTAAGGGACGGTGGTGGCCATGCCGTCTGCCAATTTCATTTTCCTAATTAGGAAAATAAAGAGTGGGCGGACCCGGCTCTTCAGCTTTCGGTGCCGGACGACCGAGAGGAACCCCGCCAAGCGGTAGAGGCGCTGTATTCTCCAGGGATCATTATATTTGCCAAATAAGGTATTAGCATAGCCAGCCATAGATTTAGTAAGACCCGTAACAGGTCGTCGAAGTTACTGTTTTTGACAGACACAGCAGTGTCACGAGACACCGCACAGCGACTCGCACGCTTCGGAGTCTGTCTCGTGTTTGAGTTTTGCGACCCGGAGCAGGGGAGAGTAGGTCGCTTCTAGAATAGGAAAATACAAACGAAAGGAAAAAAAAAAAAGAAAAGAAAAGAAAGAGAAAAAAAAATCAATCAGTCGGTATATCTGCACTAGCCCGGAATCGAACCGGGGGCTAGTCGAAGCTGCACGTTAGGTGGCAACGACCAATTTTACCACTAAACCACTAGTGCCTTGTTTTATTGCATAGCGACCTCGTCGATGAGGATAATCATTGGCAGCGGTCCCCGCTCCGGGCGTGAGACTTCGTAGTTGTGCAGCTGCGGAGTTGTGGTCCATCCCGGGCAGAGTCATTGTGGTCAACTGACCGAACAACGAGAAATGGAATAAAGTATTTTCTCTCTGTCAAGATGCGGTACGGGTCGTAGTAGCCGGATTCGTTTCCAGTAGTCGAGGATGCTACACTATTTCGTTAATCTAAGGGAGGAAGAAGAATGAGAGGGGGAAGAGAGAGGGAGAATCAAAGACTAGACAGCATCCTTTCAAATATGGTAAAAATCAACGATTGAGATAATGAAGAAGTATTCCTGATGATCTATATAATACACCCTGGTAATCCTTTCAAGAAGACGCTGGTAGTCTCTCGACTCTTCTCATCCCTCACAGGTCCCTTCTCCCCAGACCTGCCCGAGTAGCATCATCATCCCACCTTCTTGAATCATTATTTGATTTGAAGTCACTTCCGCCGTAACCTCGAATATGAGCAACATGGACGGCCCCCAAAACACTCAGCTGCCGGGGAACCCTCCTCGGATTCCTGTCGAGCCAATCACTGGGGAGCCCAAGGCGTTGGACCAGCCATGGAAAGCTTTCGTTCACGAAATCAAAAAGGAGGCGATCGCGAAGGGTTCAACGATCACTCTCTCGCAGGCTAGGTACGTGCGTGTGGCCTCAACATCAACTGATGACACACAAATCATCTCTTCCATACCAGCCGCCCCTCTTGACATACCACCCCCTTCCGAGGACGTCGTTAACTTTTTCTAAGGCTTCATGAGCGGGCAAAGGACACTTAATAGGGCTAGGTAGCGTGGGAAATAAAAAAAATAAATAAAATAAATAAGTCATGCAAATGAGAATGAAAGATTCCGCTCTTTCATTAGGGTGTGCAGCCGCCAGGGGCTCGCTGGCTCCGCAGTGTCCGCCCATAAGGCATCTAAGATAGTGGCCGTGTTTTGGATATTCCCAAGCGCGAGAAGCTCCTGTAGCCTCTCGAGTCGCTGCCGTATCATGGTCCGTCGAGGACTGTCTAGGATACAGGCGCCTACAATAGCGATGGGCCAGCACAGAAGTGTGTTGGTCTGTGTGTCAGGTGGAATGTCAGCGAGGTAAAATAGTGCGCTAGCGATAGTCGACTCTACGAGATCAGAGGCTGTTGAACTCTCACCGCCGTTTGAGGGCCCAAGGGTGCTGGTGTAGAGATAGAGTAGCAAAGCTTGCTTGTAGAAGAGGCCACTAGAGCGGAGCACGCTGTTCGAGTCCGGATAGGGGGTCCATGAGATGATTTCGAGCTGCAGTGTTGCAAATGTAGCGAACCGCTCCCGCAGGGCCTCTGGCGACAAATTTTCTAGTGTCGGGCTATGCATGGCGAAGGCGTTGATCCGCGGGATCAAGAGAAGAAGCTCGATCCAGCAGCCGCAGAGGCTCCCAACATATGACGAATCGGCGAGCTCGTGAGCTCGCGTCTCAATCTTCCCGTTCATCTTGAGCGTCTCGCAACGCTCTGGGTTGAGTGATATGAGGCTTAGCGTACTAACGTAGACGTAGAACTCGACGAGGAAATCGGAGAGAGGGGAGCGTTGTCCGATGAATGGATCTGACAGCACAGAGGATACAATGGCATCGGCGGCACTGATATGTTTGAAGATAGCGCCATCGCGATCTCCCTTCACAGTCTACATGGTAGGTCAGCATATGAATAATGACTCCACGATCAACAGTTTATGCAGCAAAAAGACATACTTCTGTAAAACACAGCATCAGACACCCTAGGCCAAGCGCGACGATAGTCGAGTTGCCGTGATGGATATATTGGTCGATGCTGCCGCGGAACATGGTCAATGCATCGCGGTAGTAAGTCTGTGCAGATAGAGCTAGCTCGGTGGGTTGGATAATAGCCTTGTGCACAGCGCTAATGGTGAGTATGAGGTGCATGATGAGATCGCTCGACATGGCAATAGGCATGAGTTGTGCTAGAAATGGATTCTCCCTTTGGAAACCGCCGGCCATGGCGAATGACGTCTTGGTCAAATAATGTCCGAGAAGATGATATCCCTCCTCACCACAGAGCTCCCAGACTCTGCCATTACCAAAGACAGACAGGGTCGCCGGCAGCGCGAACATGGGGCCCTTTCCGTCGAAGGATCCGGCGTGAGGTCTTCTCGGGGAGAACTTGGGGAGAAAGAACTCCACGGAGTCAGATACAGCCCCATCGCAAGTTGGCGATCCTGAATCGAAGACAATAAGAGATGTCTCTGACGAGGGTGGCAAGGGTGTCGAAAAAGGGTGTGGATCTTCCTGCGGCTCAGTTGGCGAGGCTTGGCCGGCTTGCCGTGGATCATGGGATTCAGACTGAGGACTCAGGATGTGGGGTGCTTTCCCGGTAACCTCCCCGGCATTGTCGGCAGTCAATGCACTTGGTGACCGGCAAGGAGATGGCGAGACTCTTGGCCATTCGCATTTAAATCCGTTTCGCTCACACCCACGGCAAATGGGCCGCTGTTCCTCGCATTTCTTCTTGCGGGCTCGACAGGTCAAGCAACCGGTCCTGACCCTGGTGATCTTGGGGACGCGATTGGCCATGATTTCACAAGTGGATTATGAGCTCGAGAGGCCCACTCCCTCGCATTAAACATTACCCTTCAGTAATGAAATCTGAGGGTTTGCGTGGAGTCATAGTCTCCAGTTCGCAATGCTGCGCAATGCTGAGCTGAGTGATGGTAATTGGAGCGGAAGGGACCGAGCCGAATCAACTAGAAGGTGGATGCGTTGACACATTCTTACATGAAAACATGATTCTGACGCTCTGCGCGGTCAGCGCGGTCAGCGCGGTCTCGCCTACACCACTTCTAAACAGAGTAGAGACTAGAGTGCAAGCTAAAGGACTTGGCGGCTATGGCTCATGCGCTAGCGTGATAACTCTGTCTTGTGGCCAGGCGTCACGTCCACTTCCCCAATCACTTTATGTTTGGGAGGGAATTTCTTCTCGGACGTTCGGCACTCGGTAAAGGTTCCCAGAACGAAGGACGCCCCGCTGAACTTGCACCTTCGGAATTGCGCCAAGCCGGCAGTTTTGGCCGGGTGGTTGGATTTGAAGAGGGCAGAGCCCGAGCCTCTCGCTCTCCCCCATGAAGCTTTAGCGAAAGACTAGAAGATCTCGGACGAGGAGAAGATAACAGAGTTGACTCGTAGATAACGGATGCGAATCAAATTTCCTGCATTAAGTGTAACTATTAAGTTGTCCAGTCACCAAATTTGATTGTAAACTGAGACATCCATTGCTAAGTAAGAGGGAAGATCTACTCCGCCCGAGCAAAGCCATGTCTCTCTGAAATACTGAAATACTGAATTATACGTGACAGACCGTTTAGGCCTCATGCTTCTTGGCATGGGCTGGCACCTCTCGTTCCATGACCTCCACGATCTGACCCTCGATGCTCTTGTCAACAGCTGCCATGGGACCTGAGAAATGTTTGCGACCGTACACTATGTACCAGATGATACTGATAATACCGAAGCCAGTGAAAACGACGCTGGCGTAGTTCATGGTCGAGGCCGTGGCCGGAAGTGCCACCGGCAAGCAGAAGAGGGCGGTTGAGAAGATGACCCACGTGACGGAAATAGCATTGATGATGGTGCCAACCGGCTTCAGCGAGTAGAGGGAGTTTTCGACATCTCTACGTCGCCGCAGCAGGCTGATGAAGATCGGCACGCCATACGATGTCGATAAGCAGATGGTGGCGGTGCCAGTAAACGAGTTGAATGCGGCGGAGGAACCAAAGTAGATGGGACCCATGCAGAAACTCACAGCGGCACCGAGTAACGTTGCCTGCACCGGCACCCCAAGACGTTGGTTGACACGCGACCAAATCTTGTGGCCTGGTACGGCCCCGTCACGCGAAAATGCGTAGGTGAAGCGACTGGCAACGGTAGCGGAGCCGATGCTGGAGAAGCAAAATATCCCAATGATAAGGATTAGCAGCCCCATAGCACCGGCACTAGAGCCTGTGACCAGCTTGAATAGCAGACCAATCGGCTGGCCGCTTGCCACTGCAAGCAGCACCTCGATCTCGGGTAATGTGAACATTACGGGGATGAGAAAGGCGGCACCTAGCACGCCGGCGACCAAGACCGAGGTGACGATAGCGCGAGGGACCTCCTTGGCATGGTTTCTCGCTTCTTCGCAGAGTGCCGAGATAAGGCCGTAACCGAGCATCACATAGGCGCCTTGCAACAAGCCGATGAAAAAGGACCACCCGGTAGGCCATCCACTGGCCGAGGTGTCATAATTAGCAAACACAAAAGCACCGGAGCGCATCTTGCCGCATGTAGCCAATAACACGGCCATGAAAATAACAATCGAAGCCGAGGTCCACGCGATGCATGCGGTGTTGATGATATTTAGATACCTCGTGCCGAATATGTTGATGACCGTTGAGAAAGAGATGAAGGCCCAGAAAACGACAACCGTCTGCCAGGCAGTAGGGACGTAATCTTCGTGAAATAGTGTAGCTGCCGAGAGCACGATCTGCGAGCCGGAGAAGTTGATGCTGACCATTACCAGCCAGTTATCCACGAGGTTCAACCAGCCGGTGACCCAAGCCGCGATCGGGGCGAATTGTGGAGGTGATAACATGGCAGACCAAAAGTAAGGTCCTCCTGCGACGGGGTAGACAGCGCATATCTCGGCCATGGAAGCTGCAATACATAGAGAGACTAGTGTGATGAAAACCCAGCCCCATATAACCGTAACGCCCTGGCCGTTGATCAAGGTGATGTAAAGGGTAGTGGATAAGCCGAAGGGAACTGCCATGATGGCTACAGACCTAAATTCAAGACGATTAGCATTCTATCTGGGCCCATATTTGGTAACAACAAAAACCCCAAGCCCGGCATCGACTCCAGACGATCCCGTTCCTCTTCGCTCTTTAGGACGGAACCTTTTCAACGTTATGACAAAGAATGAAGACAGTGTCTCGACTCACAAGCTAAGGATGGTCCATATTGAGAGAGACCTCTTGAAGTCGTTGCGATATCCAAGCCTGGATAGCTCCTGATCCGCATCCATTGTTGATTCTACTTGTTGCATTGTGTTGTTAGGAGGCTCAAGAGGCGAAAGAAGAGTTGAGAAGTTGTTCGTCAAGTGTCGATTGTTGAAACGGTTAAGATGTCAAACCGTTGGGTGTTTATGGGTAGAAGTATAGAATATTGAGACTGGGGGAGGACGTGGCCGTATAGATCGGACAAAATTAACCAACTATAGATGTCAGTATCATTTATATAACACTTAAATGGAGGCGCGGACCCAAATCTTGTGATGAAGGCGATGACACCGCGGTGACAAGGTTCAAAGATTCCAAGATAAGGTGCTATGATTAAGACGCTCTCTTACTATTCTCTTATCATACCCATAAACAGGGGCGTCAGGCATGGGGAAAGCATTAGTAGCCGCATTCCGTTAGGCATTCCTAATTCTCGGGCCAAAAATCTTCCTATCTTGCTAGTTAGTGCATTGCCAAGATCCGGGGTCGCTTAGCAGTGTGTAACTAGGTAATGCCACCTGGAGCTTATTCTGTAGGAATCCGTGACAAACGGGCCAACGGAACCCATCCTTATTCTGTAATTCGTAATTGGCATTTAGTTAGTACCTTGATCGCAGACAAGAAGCATGAGGCGCAGGGTATCACTCCTCCACACCAGCCGTACGCAACTTCCCCGTTTTACGGGAATCTAAAGACTATCCCTTTGTGATCCTGAAAGCGAGCTAATAGGTATTGGATGGTTCCAGAACCGCGTCATCTTATGTTCTATTTGTTATTTTTACTGTGGTTCATCAGGCCGTAGTGATCACGAACAAGGTCCTATATGAACATGGCAACTGGTTCGATACATTGAGTGACTAGGTCCTCAGTGAATTAGAGCATGAGATAGTGACAATCTATACATCGTAACTTCCAATCTCCGCCCGACCCCATCCTTTATTAAGCAGAGCCTTAACGGCATCTTCAGAAATGGTCATGTTTGAAGCCAACGCACCAGGACCAGACGGGCCAGGGTCGTTGTATGCCGTGACGGCCCTGACTCGCGCCTTTGTGACCTCAAGAATGGTGCCGCTCGTTATTGTGATGTCATATCTGCCTGGGTCGTAGTTGCCAATTGTCGAGCTCATAGTATCACGCTCAATTAATGCTACCATAACCTCAGCGACTTCCTGCGGCTCGACCCAGACGTCCGACGCGGAGTTAATCATGGCAAGCTTGTCCGGGTTCTCGGTATAAAGGGGGGTCTTGATGATACCCGGCGCCACGGCGACGATGCGGATGCCGGCGGTATCAATATCTTTAAGCGAGCGGACGAAGCCACTGATAGCGTGTTTGGATGCATCATATAGAGGAGTAGCGATACTGGTGTCCTGCGCGCTCGTACTGGAAATCAGAACGAGAGTCTTGGGGCCCGGGCGGTCCGAGTTGAGGAACCTTGAGATTGCAATCTGGCTCGTCCTGATAGGGTGAATGATGTTGATGTCGAGAATTGCGTAGCGGCTGTCTCTGACAGAGTCACGGCTCTGAGAAGTTTCGGGAGGATACCAGAAGCTGCTCCAAGTCTGCAGATTATCGTAGCGGAGGGAGTTAGTCTTCCAAAGCTGTTCCATTTATTCCATATAATCACGATAGGCGAATGTTGAGACGAACTCACCGGCTCATAAACACCGGCGCCGGGGCAGACAATGTCAACACCGCCGAATTCCTGCTCGGCCACCAAAAACATGCGCTCCAACTGGTCCCAGTAGCGAACATCAGTCTGTTGAAAAACAGCCCTCCCACGACCTGCAGCAGGCGCAGAGTAACTATTGATCACTTCTTTGGCCTCCGGTCGCAGTGCGAGATCAGCAAAGACGACATTACACTCTTTGTCAAGGAGTAGCGTGGCGAAAGATAGGTTGATGCCACTACCGGAACCAGTGACGATGGCAGTCTTGCCCTTGACGCTTTGTGCCATAGTAGTTATGTGAGGGGAAGTTGAGACTGGTTGATTTCAGGCACCTAAGGATATCTTGTAGTGCATATGTTTCCTAAAAGTGAGTATGCGGAGAGCATGTATTCTGCGAAATAAAGTCAGCCGATACCTTATGCTCGGTATAATTATAGTATAGGTAATAACAAGCTGAAGAGCCTTTTAATTGGAACCGGAAATGAACTACCCCTTCAAACCTAAAATGGTTGTAGGCCGTGTGATATCTCTGCAGCACTTGAGATGTAGGAGATAGCTTCCGTCTGACCGCGCTAACCGCGTTGACCGCGCTGACCCGGGCGCGGTACGCGAATCGAGCCGGCGCCACTGCTCACCACTAACTCATCCCCATTCCGTTAGTCTGATCCTGGCTGAAGGGGCCCGGTTTCCGGGCGTATGGAAGACAATGAACGATGAGAAGGGAGAAGTTGTGCTGGACGTATTCTCGATATGCGTATACTGCAGGGGGAGACCGCGCTCTTATCCTGGCACTAACAGCTCGCTATCAACTAGGCTAATCGCTACCGTACGATTTGGAGCCATATCTTCATCACGAGCCTCTAGATAATCCAGGATTCACCAATTTTTCTACGCACTTCTAAGGGGACAGATTGTTCATATATAGAGTAAACGCGTAATACCAACGTCAATCGGTACACCTACACTTTGCAAATTCTCATTACTATCTATTTGATGAGGCCAAACTCGTTTTCTCTAAGTTGTCATTCAGTTTAAATCCACAAACAATATGAGCCTCTCTGTTGACCACGGGCTGGATGGCCACGACACTTCCTCCTCTAGAGCTTTGAAAGATCACGGCTCTGATTTTGACGTCATCATCATTGGTGGCGGATTCTCTGGCTGCTACCTACTGTACAAGTTACGGAAAGAGGGTTTCAGGGTGCTGCTCATTGAGTCGGCAGAGGGACTAGGTGGTGTATGGAGGTGGAACTGTTACCCCGGCGCACGGGTAGACACACACGTCCCACTTTACGAGTACTCCATTCCGGAGGTCTGGAAGACCTGGAACTGGACTGAAAAGTTTCCCACCTCTGCTGAGCTGTGCAAATACTTTGAGCACGTGGACAAAGTCCTCGATCTTAGCAAGGATTGTCTCTATCACACCAAGGTCATAAGTGCCCACTTCAGCGACGATGAGACCCGTTGGTCAATCACTACCGAAGGGAACTCAACTCCCTACCAGGCTCGGTGGTTCATCCCGTCTGTTGGCTTTGCTGCCAAGCGCCACTTCCCGGATTGGCCCGGCCTAGAGAGGTTCAAGGGTGTCATCCACCACTCGAGCTTTTGGCCTCGTGAAGGAGTTGACTACAAGGGCAAGCGAGTAGGCGTCGTTGGGACCGGCAGTACTGGGGTACAGCTCGCTCAGGAGATGGGCCCGGAGGCTAGCGAGCTTACATTGTTCCAACGCACGCCTAACTTGGCACTGCCACTTCGCAAGGTCTCCCTAACGGCGGAGGAACAGGAGAAAGACAAGGTCAATTACCCGGCTAAGTTTAAGGCGAGGCTCGAGAGCCGAGGAGGATACGATTTCAGCCCCTGTGATCTTGGAACCTTCGACCACACTTCCGAGGAGCGAGAGAAGTTTTTTGAGGAGAAGTGGGAACAGGGAGGCTTCCTCCTCTGGGTTGGCTCGTACCGCGATACACTCACAGACATCAAAGCCAACCGCGAAACCTACAACTTTTGGGCTAAGAAGGTCCGGGCCCTAATTGGCGACCCTGAGAAACGTGATCTGCTCGCACCCCTAGAGCCTCCCCACCCTTTTGGCACTAAACGCCCAAGCCTGTTTTGGGACTTTTACGAAGTCATGAATCGACCCAACGTTCACATTGCCGATGTGTCCAAGTACCGCGTTAAGGAAGTCACAGAGGAAGGCATCGTGACTGCTGATGGTAAACTCCACAAGCTCGACATCCTCGCGCTGGCTACCGGATTCGACGCAATCACTGGTGGCCTCAAAGCCATCGACATCCGCAACGGTGGAGGCCAGTTACTGAGTGACAAGTGGGCGTCTGGCACCTGGACACATCTGGGCATGATGACGTCCGGGTTTCCTAACATGTTCTTCATGTACGGGCCCCAGGGTCCTACAGCCTTCTCCAATGGGCCGACCTGCGTTGAGATCCAGGGCGATTGGATTGTCGGCGCACTCCTCCATCACCGCGGAAAGGATATCAAACGCATGGAGGCAATGGCGGAGGCAGAGCAGGGATTTCGCAAATTTGTAAACGACGAAACTGAGAAGACTTTGTATCCACTGGCAGATTCTTATTACATGGGTGCCAACATTAAAGGCAAGCCACGCGAAGCCCTCAATTTTCCCAGTGGCATACCGTATTACAGAGATATGCTGGCAGATGTTGCAAGTAAGGGTTACCAAGGGTTCATTTTAGCATAGATAATGCGCTATAATGTAGGTTCAAGGAATTTTACTATTTCTACCGATTAATTCTTTCCTGTTTACCAATGATTTTCCAAACGCCTCATATATCGGGTTCCAAGAATGTATTCAGCAATCGTAGCACGCTCGACGGGTAACGAAAAGCCCGCGGTTGTCACTAGGCTCACTACATACGCCTATGCCCTTCCCCGTCTGGCCCTTCTTCTGTTTCTTTGCGCATCGATTTGTCCTCGCTACCTCCCAGTCGCCCAAACCACCCTGTTCGAGCTTGCTCACTTTCCGTAACCGGGGTACACAGCAGGGGAGGCACTAACTAGAGTTCCTTTGTTACTCAGTCATTAAACTGCGAGCGCGGTATCTCGTACGCAGGGCGTTCCTTCTATATCTAATGGCAGGAGAGAGGAGGAATGTTGTCGATTTGGAGTTTCGGATTTTACATCTCACGAGCTGCCTGGCAATTTCTGGTATAAAGTCCAATGAAATCAATGCGGGGAGCAATCCCAACAAGTCTAAGCCACGACGTGGTAATTAACTCCAAGGTTATTAAACATATATACTCCAACCCTAAGTGAGGCGAAGGCGAGGGAGGTGGGTGATGCCCTAGGCGATATGAAGGAGCTTGAGAAATGTTAGTTTCTCCGAGCAGAGTCGGGAGCCTGCCTCTAATATGTAGATAGGATGGAGTGGATGGCAATCTTGCCCTAACACCCGGTTGTCGGTTGGGAGAATCTACCAGTTAGCAGGCGGAGCTTGACATTAATTCGAGATTTGTCCCATCATGCCGCGACAGAGCAGCTAGTCGATGCCGTATGTAACTCGGTTTCCTGTATGACCGATAGGGGGGGTAAGAAAAGTCAAACCGGAAAAGAACCAAGGAGAAAATGAGAAAAAGAAAATAGAAGGAAAAAAAGAATCAGAAGCACGTCTGCACTAGCCCGGAATCGAACCGGGGGCTAGTCGAAGCTGCACGTTAAGTGGCAACGACCAATTTTACCACTAAACCACTAGTGCCTTGTGTTTTTGCATGCATGGCGTCATCCTCGAAGAGGCTAATCATTGCCAGCGGTTCTCGCTCCGGCCATGAGACTCCGTAGTTGTGGTCTGTCCAGGCCGGGAGTCATTGTGGTCAACTGACCGAACAACGAGAACGGAATAAAGTCTTTTCTCTCTGTCAAGATACTGTACGGGCCGTAGCAGCTGCATTCGTTTCCAATGGTCGAGGATGCTACACTATTTCGTTGATCCGGGAAGAAATGAGAAGGGAGAATGAGAAGGGGAAGGGAAAGGGAAGGGGGGAAAGGAGAATCAAAGATTAGACAGAGATCGGAACAGCCCACGATAGTATCATCCCCAAGATGTCTTGCTGTTGCCGTCGACAATCCAGCCCACTAATTACTTTCATTATCTTTATCTTCGTACCTACTTCATCCTGGCTCATGTATAAGTACGACCTCCACTCCCTAGTGGAACCGCCGAGCTTCTTGCTGGTTGGTGTTGCAGAACCGAACAGAAAATTGGAACGGCGGGCCCATCCGCCCATTCCTCGGGCATGATAAAGGTAGTGCGGGAAACACTTTACGTCGATGGAATGGGGCAGAAGTCATTTGGTACGTAACAGCCCGGACGTTCTTTTTCGGTGAAGCATGGGTGTCGGGGAGCAGGGGCCGGGGGCGGGGTTGTCGATTTATTAGAGTCGACTTCATGTACGTCAAATGGCAGTTGTTCCTTCACATGTCAATGATCAGTTCCTGATCTATTACCGATGTACCGTCAAATAGAACTTGGAAGGGGTAACCCCAGCGAGTCAACGACTCATTTCCACCCGCAAGCTGATAGCACCCACAAGCAGCCCTTCCCTCCGCGTAGTAGATTAGGTTTCAGTAGACACCGCGAGTGCCACGATTGTCCCTGACGTGCCTCGTGGGACAACTTTCCTAGGGCCGGAAGGTGGCAAGGAGGAGTATGAGGGTCTGAGGGTCCCACCCCATCTCCTCGCCGATGCATGAGTTGTTAGGGCTTTTCCGAGCAAGTTTTCGGCGAGTTTTCTAAAGTGCATAAAATGGCATGTACGGAGACAGCTCTGAGAAGTAGGAGCCAAACCCTGTCAGTGGCTTATCGAAGTTTCGTATTCAAACCCGTGTCTATAATCTATCTCGGGAGACTGTCGTTATGGCGATAACCTCTGCGTGAAATGTTTAGCCAGGCCGCCCAGCGACTATTCAGCCGCACCTCCGAGCCGTATTCTCCAGCGAGAAGATCCGGAAGTGTCCAATATAGATATTAAACGGCGGTCTGTTCCAAAGCCTGCACAACGTATAACTTTACAAGAGCCCGCCTTATCGCTCCAAACATGATTATATCCCCAATAAAGTTGCTAAAGAGAGATAGAATAAAGACAGCAATAATGCGAGAATCAGTAGGATCTATAAATTCAACAGGTGCAATCTCCACTCCTACAAAAATAGCCACTATGGCTGTAATTGCCGCAAATGCCATCACTGGTATCACGACAGCTGAGAAGTGGCGCAGAGCAGTCAGCTCCCTCTAGTAAACGCTGCCCTATTAGCATACGAAAAATGGAAAGGAAAAGAAACGATCAACCTATGAAGGTTTCGACGCTAACTTACTCCCGTCCATCCTAAACGGCCTGCATGGATAGCTTTCCTCAGGAGAGAGCCAGAGATGGCGAGGCTCATGAACAGTCGCCAAAAGATATAGGTTGGGTAGATAATGATGTGAACAACGGAGTACAACTCACTGTCCTCTAACGAGTCCGAACCACTGGCGGTTAGTCGCGTTAGTAGAGACTATCAAAACATCGCCGGGACTACGGACTTATCCTGGAAGCCAGATGACATTGTTTCTTACGCGGAGCAGGTCATAATGAAAACGGTCAGAGCCAGACCGCCTGCGATACAGATTAAAGCGCTATCCCCAACCACGGAAAGGCATTTTCTTCTGGGAGAAGTCGCATTCCAAGGGAAAAATTGCCTCTTGAGAATGACCATCGTTGAGTAGAGTATAACTTTCGTGCTAAGCTGGGAGAACAACCGTAGTTGGAAGGAACGAAAGTAGCCTAGCAACGTAACTATATACGTGAAGGATCGTAGAAGAGCGAGGAGTAGGCCGGTAATTAAGAGACTTGTCGACGCGGCTAGATTCCGCTTCATACTTGGGGTTGACTGGGACGCGGTTGGACCATCCCTCTCTGTCCGAGGCTTCTTGGTCACAAGACTCACAAGAGACGCGCCGGTGACATAGAGAGCGATGACGCCTCCGAGGGCAATGATTGCAACAAAGGGAATAGGATCGTCCATGTTAGGCTATTGGAAATATGCTTTGCTTGGCCGGAACGACTATGACAGTCAGGGTTACCCGGCGATTGATACTTCTCCGGAATATCGAGTCCTTCGAGAGCTGATATATCTTAAGCCAGGAACCATAGATTCAAAATTACCGTGCGCGTTCTTTCTACGCAGCCAGGGCCCGCGCCCCCGACTTTTCAAAGTGTCAGGTATGCCTCGCGGCGCCGCCTCATGCAGGCCAGAGGCATTATTGAAACAGTGGGCAAATCGTTGGCCAAGCTTGCAATGGTAGCGAGGGTTGCTGCAGGCCAAGCCTACCCGAATCAGTCGAGGGAAACAATAGTGTGCGCCACCGTGCCGCATTTGCGGTTCAGACAAACAGAAATCGCCGTCTGTGTCACTGCCCAGCTCAGGCCCAGAATGCAAGACGGAGGTCACCTCACACGCGAGTAAAGGACAACTATGCCCGAGTTTCTGAGGGTGCGCCAAGACCGCGGGAATTGGTTTGAGGCGTAATGATAACATATCCCCCCCCGCATGTCTTCTTAAGGCATCGCGGCAGCCTGGTGTCGCTAAAATGCGTCAAGTCGCTGTTGTCCATGATTCAGAGCCACCAGGAAAAGGTTCTGTACTTGAACGCTGGCACAACCTGTATTCATGTTCGAGCGTCTTGACGGGGAGAGGAAAAGCAAAATATGCGTAAAACGCATGACATCTTTCGCAAGCTTCCATTGGTCATCTCCGCTGATGCCAGTCTGTCGAAAATATTTGACTCTCTTTGGAGAATGGCTCCAACATCACTGCCACGGATGGCGAGGATCGTTGAAGCTATTCGCCATCTTCTCTTGGATTACTGCAGTCGTGAACTTGGGTATCTCCATCTTCATTACTGTGAACGCTGGAAACTCGTTCTTTTTCAAAAGCATTACTATCATGACCGGCGCCTGCAAGGATATTAGCCGTGCTGACCTTTGGATTCACTTGGCTATGAATGTGGTCTCAGCTGGGCTTTTAGCTTCAACGGTACGTGTTGTCCGCGAAATCCATATATTTATCCACGAGAGTTTCTCTAACCTGCTCGGGGTTTGCTTCGCGGCTAGAACTTTGCAATGCAAGCGTGGACATCTCTCACAAGGACCGAACTAGATCAAGTCCACGCGGGTGGAGAAACGGCTGATATAAATATCCCCTCCCTTAGAAACATGTTGAGAATCTCCCGAACTCGCCGCTTGCTATGGGCTCTCATGTTTCTAGCTGCCCTTCCACTGCATTTCATCTACAACAGCTCAATTTACTCCACAACATCGTTGACAGACTATAACGTCTACATAATGACAAAAAATGCCCTTTTGCAATCGTTTGAGAGAACAGAAGATGGACTACCATCTTATCGGCCACGGGATTCCAAGGCCAAATACAACAGAAGTTTTAGCCAAGGTTGGAAGCCGTTGAGTGTGAAGGCCCTGGTAACAAGGTATGGAAGGAGTTTGACAGACGAAGCTAGAGATGTTATCTTCATAGCAGATGTCGATGATAGTGTCCGCGTCGATGAGGGTGAACATGGAGGCATTCTCTTCCATCGTCTGATGGATAGCTCCGCAGCACAGAACCAGACCTATTGGCTCTGTGAATTCTTCGACCCAGGCCAGATTGAAAACGGCGGCTGCCGAAGCGATTCCATCAGAAATATCACCAGGTCATCTTGGAACACGACTTTACAAAACGGAACAGTCCCAGGAACAAATCTCACGCCAGGGTCGGGTGTGATCAGGCTTTCACCAGATGCACTCATGGAGGAGGTTTCCCTTGAGTGTCGTCTACAGACCCATCCTCTTTTCTGGTGGCTTACAACTGCGTGCAACCTTATCATTTCGTGCTGCCTCACAGGCATGGTCTTCCTACATAAGTCAATTCCGCTCGTGACTATCGGGGATGTCATCGAATCTTATCTCCGACAGCCGTCCACCGAAATCCCCAAATCCATGTGCACTTACAGCTACCGAGACTTTAAGAACATGTTTTTCGATTTCACTCAAGCCCAACCGAATGAATATCGGCCTCGCGAACGTGGTCCACGGTGGGCTGAGTCTATTGGGCTGAGGAGGTGGAGTTTGACGATGTTATGGTGGCTCGTGGCTCTTTTAGCTCTGGGCGTTTGGCTTTTCACTCTTCTCAAGATCGAAGCAGAGATTGCAAGCACTTCGATCAAAGAAATGTGAGTGTTTGTAATCCCGATTTTTCTTTAGTATCGATTATATCCAACCTACTGATACCGCGAGACAGTTTCAATCGAGGATTCGGATCACTCGACCGGGTGGGACTCGCATCAACGCAGTTTGCCACTCTGCACTCTTCTGGGACGAAACTGGGCATGATAATAGCTATAAACACCCCTCAGTTTGCACTTTCCGTCACATACCTTCTCTATAACTCCCTCCTGACTATCATGCTGGCCGAAAAAGAATGGCACAGTTTTGGGCCAGGAAAGAAGGGATCAAAAGCTAAATCGAAAACCAACTTACGTGTCTCTCAACCCCGTGGCTGCCAGAGGAGCACATTTTTCTTGTCATTGCCCTATAGATACTCTATACCATTATTGATCTTGTCGAGTGTTATGCAGTGGCTCGTTAGCCAGGGCTTATTTTATGCAGAGGTGGACCTCTGGGACGAAGATGGAATTCGGAAAGGTCTAGAGGACGGGGCTGCGACAACGGGATCTTCGTCTCTTGCACTCTTCTGGCTCCTCATCATCGGGTTCTTGTCGTGGGTATTTGTTGCCATCCTGAGTATCGCTCGACGGTACCCGCCAGGCATGCCTCTGCTTGGTGCCTGTTCTGCTGTTATTGCGGCTTCGTGTCACCTCCCTGCGGGCTTGCAGCGGCAGGTTGACAGTGACGTTACCCGTCGCGACATATCCTGGGGAGCTGTGAGCGAGCCAGTCGAGGACGGTCCTGTTGGCGAGAAATGGCTGAGCCTGTCGACCGGTGATGTAGAGCGGCCGATTACAGGAAAGGTGTATGGACGATAGATAGTAGTGATGGATCCTGCCAAAACTTAGTCTCAAGTTTGACAATGGGTTTTAGCCTACGCACCTTTCGTCTTTGATTCATCCGACATCCCGCGAAGAGTTGATACCAACGCAGTAATACCCAGGACACGTCAGTACAACATATATCCGGATCTATATTGGCAGGATCAGTATCAAAGGTCCGATATATCATGAGCGGATGAATTCGGTGGGTATGTGATCTCCTTCCCGCCGTATCACCTTAACTATTATCACTGGAAGTGAGACAAGTTCAATATCAATGTATTCAGCAATCCTAGCAGGTTGTCCTCGCCACCTCCCAGTCACTCAAACCACCCTGTTCGAGCTTCCTCAATTTCCGTAACCGGAGCATACAGCGGGGAGGCAGTAACTAGAGTTCCTTGCTACTCATATCGTAAAGGCTAGACCCCCATTGACATCCGAAAGCAGGCTTGGTATTGAAATACATCCAATCCATTTCCTGATAAGAAGTTATGGCCATGCCCATTGCTGCGGCAAATACGGGCTCTAGGGCAGAGGCTTTTTCAACAAGATCTGAACTGATGACCGCCCTCAGGATATCGAGGAAGCCTGGGTCCATTACTGCATCTCTGTAAAGAACCAGATCTTGGATATCATCAGTTAGGAGGGTTCCCATAAAGTCTCGGCCGAGTGGGGGCTTAGTGACTTCCATTAATGCAGCCTTCACAGATTCGAGGTGACCATGTCCTCGGTGGCCTGCACCAAGGTGCTGGTTGTAAATCCTGCGCATAATATCTACGATTCCATCAACCTCAGAAAAGAGGACGACATTGAGTCCAGATGCGCTATAATCGATAGACAAGATAGCTCGCGTTCTGTCGTCTGGTATCTCTGATCTGCAGCCTGATGTCTTCGAGTTATCAATATGATTTGCCACCAGAACCATGCGAGGGGCGTCAAAAATGCGATGGGTTTGACGAAGGCCGATCGACTTGATAGCTTTCTGGATGATATCGTTCTGGTACTGCCAGGTTTGGTCTGGGATAACTAGGCCAGTAAAGCAAAAACTAGTCCCCAGGCAGGAAGCGACAGAGTATTGCAGACTTCGCAGAAGAGCCTGCGTGCTGACGAAATCCGGGTTCCTCTTGCAAAACGGCAGCCGTGGTAGTAGACACAGGGCGTTGCGTAGCAAGGCGACGCTAGGAATTCCCTCGGCAAGTTCTCCTCCGGCAGGTTCATGTTTACGCATGAACGACTTATACTCGGGGCTTCCCTCAATTCGGGCTACCTCTACGAAAGACCCGTTCGCAAAGTAGATCGCTGCAGTGCTAATCATGGCTTAAAGTCAGCTGAGTCGGCCGAGAGGGAAATCTGGAGTACCATACCCGTAGTCAGGAGTGAGACTGAAACCGACACCAGGAACCTTGAATCTTGGCAGCAGGTCTGCAGTAATAGCAGTAGTGATGAGAAGGAAGACAAGCCAAAGATGAGAGACTCACTTGTGGAAGGCCATACTGATGACAAATCGGGAGATGTGAATTAGAAGATTGTTCCAAATGTGCGTTGGAGAAGCTTTTGGAAAGGGCGTCGTTTGCCGGACTTGTTGATGGTTTCCAACAAAAAGAAAAAGATGGAACACGGTTGCGTAGCAATCGTGGGCTTTGCTGTTGTGTTTGTGTTAAGTTTGGGTACCGAGTACTTCGTATCTGAACCAAAAAAGGACATTTGATTGACGTCGCTATTTTCACCTTTTTTTTTCCTTTTCCTTTTTTTTTTTAAATTTTTTATTTTTATTTTTTATTTTTTATTTTTTATTTTTTTTTTTTTAAATGCGGCGGCTCTTTATAATCTTACATCCATCAGGCATCTATCTAAATGTCAACCTGAGGCATCGGGGTCCAAAGGCATGTGCCCATGAAATCCTCAACCTGGTTCTCTCCGTTCTTCCCATTGACATGCACACACGCCAGTTTCTTAAACTGCACCCTTTGATCCATGTTGGTCCGGCCGGAAGTCGATATCCACGTTTCTTGAAGCGCGATTAATGTGAGGGACGCTGCGCCATTCTAGGAAGGCTCTGCCTGCATATCGGCCCTTCACTGCTCCACTTCGTCCGCCCACACAGCCACGCAGATGTTGGGAGTTCCCAAGAAGGTTGGCGCACCAGGTGCAGGACCCAACGGCGCTTCCATTCCGGCCTGGGGGAATTTTGTTTCATTTTTAGTATTGCGTCGCAAAGTTGCAGCTGGCTTGCAGAGTCCTGAAAATAGCAATATCTAAGGATGGAATGCTGATGCTGGTTCGCGGTTGAACCAACGTGGATACACGCCTAACAAGCCCGCATCATTTTTGGGGTGCTCGTATCTGAGCTTTGGGGCCATTCTTTCGGCTCTGCTTTGCCTCGTTTGCGATGTAAATCTTGATTTTGTGGGTAGTCTTTGTCGGTGGCAGTATTAATCTCATGCTGGCCTTGGGCACCCACTTGGGGGCGATCCCTTTTGCTGTGCTCTGCCTCAGTCGCGTAGTATATCTTACTTTCGTGGCTAGACTAGAGTCTCATCTTGGCCTCGGCCGTCCCTTTGGGGGCCATTCCTTCCCCTGTGCCTACCTCAGTTGTGGAGTGGCAGGCATCACACAGTTGGTGATCTCGTGTTGGCCTTGGACATCAACCTGGGTGCCTCAATGCTCAACCGCTCTCTTTTGGGGGCTGGAGGGTTCAAAACTAACTTCATGCAAGTCCAAAGCTCGGCAGTTGTGAACGAGAAAGAGACTCTCATCACTCTGTTGCTCGTTGGGCGCGAAAATGCAACGCGAAATCAATTATCACTTCTTCCTTGGACATCTGAAATTTACGTATAATGCGGTTGAGGGCGGCATCTTCACAACGTTTTCCTTGAAATAAAGTAGCAGACCTGACATTCTTCTCCAACCTCTTCGAGAGTTACGTCCAACGCTCTGCAGTCGCAAACTTCGTCACAGCAATCATGAGGGCCAAGTCTATTATATCCTTTTTGGGTTTTCTAATGGGAACATCTTTGGCAGTACCTCACATACCTAGAGATGTCGATCCAGATAACCCCTCTGCATCTGATCCAAAGCCCCCTCCTTCTTCTATCAAACATCCTCCGCGCCCACAGTCCATCAGCGAGAACCCGTTTGCTGGTAACTCTGCCACTGTTCCCGATTCATGTGATAACCTCTGGAATCCATCTGAGCAGTGTCTTCGTGACCTGTAGGCCCGACAAAATAACGATGTTGAGGCGTACGCTGGCGATCTAATATTCGAAAAGGATAGCCTCTGCAACGACGGCCAGAAACGCTCCCTTGAGATCGCTGCGTGGGATGCGTTGACGCCTGCCAACTTTGGAGCGAAGCGTCCAGTATCTGCAAGAGAAATTGCGACCTGGAGAGCTTATATCGGTCCCGACTTCTCTACGCAGCAGGACCGTATAGTTGGTAGGTCTCCCAGCCCAGGAACTTTAGGAGATACTTACATAAATCCTTGCCGACAGACAACTTACGCCGGGACCAAGATCACAGGGCCAAAAAGAAGTTCGATATTATAGTTAGCTGCAAAGACACCAAGAACTGGTGCAGCACCAGGATCGACGGCAAATCAGTCGGCGGCTACGCCTGGACAAAGGAAACCTGGTTTGGGTCGTACCAGCACATCACCCTATGCCCGGTTTACTTTGGCCTCGACTCCCTCGAAGAAAAGTTCGAGATGATCGAGAAGGGTCTGGCGTCAGGTGAGACTAAGTATGCCGAACAGGCAGAGTGGCAGAAGAACAAGGGCCAATTTTTCTTACATGAAATGATGCACCTCAAGGCCGTGGGCGATCCTGACAGTAAGCTTTAGTACCCTCGTATACCCCTGCTCTATCTAGAGTTGCTGACAATCATCGATTGATTTGTAGTTGGCGACGAACGCGTCGAGGAGACTGGACGGGGACCAATGGCATATGGTCCTCAGTATGTCTATCGGCTAGCACAACGCCCCCTCAACCAAGGCGGTGGAGCCACAAGGGCAAGCACAAATGCAGACAGCTATGCATGGCTAACCAATAGCCTATACTTCTACGATGCAACGGGCTATTTCCCTAGGCCGCCGAAGTTTAGGGACATTGCCGACATCGACAACATCTCGGCCGAGGATGAAGATCGTGCTCGAGATATCTTCCCCGTTTACCTCGGAGAATCCCAGGGCGATACCAGTGACGAGGAGGTCCAGAAACGTTTCCAAGCTGAGCTTGATGGCATGCGAACTGCCCCACCAACTACGACCAATCCTCCCGCAGACTTATGCAAGAGCGACAATGACTGCTCTTCACCGCTATGCGCTGGTGGTGGCGTTGTCTATTCTTGCATTCAAGGCACTTGCCAATGCGGATCCCCTGAGCCGCCGGCGCCGGCACCTATTAACACTCCTCCTGCTGGCACAAGGTGTTATGAAAACGTTTCGGAGGCTGAGTGTACGGGCAACTATGAGTGTCCTATTCGAATGAAGCCTGGGTGCGTGAAAACAAGCCTTCTGGATATCTTCCGGTGTACTTGTTTCTAGGGTTAAATTTGAGAGTTAAGCCAGTGATGTAGAATTTGATTCATCCTCCCCTCAGGGTGTTCTCCACCACCCAGAGGGAGGCAACGAGTTTACCCACTGGCTAATACTGGTTCTGTCCTGCCCATGCGAGAGGTGGTCAGCGATTCGTGAATGTCATTTAGTTTACACTGTTTGCACCCGAATTTTTGCTTAGTGATCAATGTGGGGAATGTGCTTTTCCAGTAACCTCGACGGACAGCAATTGAAATAACGTGGATCAATTCTACTCCCAAGGTCCCATCTCCTTGCGCCAGAAAGCCCTCCTCCATAGCCGATCGGTTGCTCGTATACGCACGTACCATCATGAATATTCAATCATGCCTGCCTCCTTCCAAGGCTGAAGATAGTTCGAAGAAAAAGACCCCCCGCCACAGCAGGAGCTCAACCAGGGTCTTGAAGGAATGGTTTTCTTCGCACTCTTCATACCCTTATCCGACTGACGAGGAGAAGGAAGCCCTTTCTCAGAGAACAGGGCTTAGCATCCGTCAAATATCCCACTGGTTCGTTAATGCACGGCGGAGGAAGCCCGTCAGTTCCGGGGAAGATGCATCTAATACTGTCGCTCCGAGCATGCCATCCTCCATGCCTGCTGAGGGAACAGCGAGCTGGGGCGAAATGACGCCACTCGACCGTTGGCGCAATTCGCCGCCCGACGAGGAGCCTGTGTCCTGGGACGCTATCTCAAAGGCCATCGGGAATGGCGGCGTGTCATATGGCACCTCTCAGCGAGTATATAACTCCAATTACATTTCGGAGAATAGCTCACTCAGGTCATCAACTGGTAGCCAATCCAGCGGATCATCCGCCCACTCATGGAGCTCCGGTTCCCTAGTAAGCCTGCATAGCCATAGGAAATCTCGTCAAAGACGACGGCGGTCTCAAGGAAGGGCGTTGAAATCTCTCCAAACCTCGGGCAAGGACTCCGACAAGGAGTTGCGAATCTATCAATGCACATTCTGCACAGACACGTTTAAGTCGAGGTACGACTGGACTCGGCACGAAGGAACCCTACATCTTCTGCTGGAAAAGTGGACTTGCCTCGCATCGGGACCCCGATACTGTCGGCCTTCGGAGAGCGTAGCCCGCTGCGTATTCTGCGACGCAGAAAATCCATCCACAGCCCATCTGGACTCGCACAGAAGCAACGAATGCGCTTCTAAGCCGCTAAACGTGCGTTCCTTCTTCCGTAAAGATCATCTGCGGCAACACCTACGCCAAACTCACGGTATCAGCGATGTACGCCCTTGCATGAAAGACTGGAAGTCTAAGATAAACAAGGTGAAATCACGCTGCGGCTTCTGCGGCGAGACTTTTAATCTATGGTCAGACCGTAATGACCACCTAACCGACCACTTTCGCGACGGCGCTAGGATGAAGGACTGGAAGGGGTGCCGTGGCCTGGAAGCGGCCGTTGCACTCCTGGTTGAGAACGCCATGCCTCCGTATCTCATTGGTCTTGAATCTAATGACTTGGAACCCTTCAGCGCCTCGCATAAGAACCAAGAGGGTTGTGGCCTTGAAGAAGGGCGCCCCTCAGTTCACCCAACGCGGTTCGAAATGCTCACGGCACATTTGGGGGAGTTTGTGAAGATCAAAAAGGGTAGTGGCATCTCTATTACCGATGAAATGTTACAACGCGAGGCGAGGATGATACTCTATGGAGAAGACGACCCGTGGAACCAGACACCGGCCGATAACCCCGAATGGCTCAATCTATTCAAGACTGGCTACGGCTTGTGCACGCCTTGGGGCCTACATCCTGACCCTACTATACTATCGACCACGAACGAAGGAACATTGGGGACGCAGACCGACGCGGAGGCTGCAGTCTTTTCACCTTTCACTCTAGATAAGATGCGCCAAGCCGCCATGTCTGGTGGGACTATCAACACCATTAACTTCTGCGAGGCGGCCCAATGGGACCGACCAGAGTGCAACCTACAGGTGCCCTTGGCTTGGCAGACACCCGAGTGCCTTGCAGAATTCCGCTTAATGGGCCTACTTCCGTCACTCTCGGGGACAGATATGGCCATCAACTCGGTGAGTGCTACGGACAGTTTCGATGTAACTTGCGGAAAGAATCCTAGCATGAGTGCCTACGAGAGTTCATTCATGAACTCCTGCACTACGGGTGTATTCGCAGACCAGGATGTGGCGCATTCTACAATCGTCGAGGGAGATTTTGTCCCAGTGGGTGATATAGGGACGGACCAGATATTCTCACTTGAAGAGGAACTTCATCTTTAGAGTTCCTCCATATAACTTGACCTAGTCATAGGGAACATGATGATCTCTAGAACTGTAATACATGCGCAGGAACTTGCTCCCTAGGTACTTAACCGACAAGGGACCTGTCTCATCATATCCAATATTTAGGGAACAGAAATCTAGCACGCATATGCACACACATGCACACATATCTATAGATGTAGACACCATATCGCACTCCAGGATTGGATTCACCAGCTTGCCCTGATAACGCAGGAATGTCCATCCATTGCACTCACTATCTTCCGGACCCAGTGACCCACCAAATGTGCCATTCGACGCCCTACAACAAAGGCGTGGCTTCAAACTTGCCCGGTCGAGATGCCATTCAACGCCCTACGACGTGTCACCAACTCATGCCAAGTCCAATAGAGAACCCGACAGGCTTTCAATACAACACCGTGATGACTCGAAAATACCCAATTATAGACGGGCGAAAGCCGCGGACCCTTTTCTATTTACTCGTCAAAGACAACGAGCCCAACCAAGGCCCGAGATTTTTCAAGTCGCACACCCCTTCCGCATCCCGCCCGTCATCCTCCCCGCCCGAGATTGCATCTCCGTGGAAAAGGGGATATAAGCGGGAGGTGCCGCTCTCCACCGTGAGCATTCACAAACCAGATGAGTAAACTGCCAAAATAGATGGGCATAATGGATGACTTACTGAGCCTTCCTATGGAGCTCTTAGACTTGATCTTAAAGGTATCCTACCTTGCACTCACGCTTCTCTATATGATAACTGCGAAAGCTGACGACAACCCAGCACCTCGACAAACATAGCCTCATCGCCCTCCGAGCTACATCCCTCCACTTCTCTATTCTCGCCCTCCCCTACATGGCCCATCTCGTCGCGCACGAAACCCACCTTCCTTCGCCTTCAAAAGCCTACCTACCCCTTCTCGCCAAATCCTGTCTCCACGAAACCATGTCCTTACTCCTCTCCTTCAACCCAGCTCTTCAAGGCAGAACCGAAGACGGAGAAACTGCGCTGCATATTGCGGCGCGGAAAGGCTGCCTCATCTGCCTCCGCCAGCTCATCAATTCGGGTATGGATGTCGACTGCGAGAACTCCAAAGCTTGGACAGCGTTGATGGTGGCGGCTAGGTACGGTCAGGTTGAGGCGGCCGACGAACTAATTCGGGCTGGTGCTAGGTTGGATGTGCGTGGGTTTCATGGATGGACGGCACTGCACGTTGCTTCGAGACATGGTCAGATGGAAGTTGCATGTTCGCTGGTCGATGCTGGAGCTAATGTGAATATGGTTGATAATGACCACGTCAAAGCGATGGAGGCGTGTTGTCGGAGGAAAGGTTGGGGTATGGTTAGCCAGATATGCCGTCACAAACTTGCATCCACTAAGTCGGTATAAAGCTGAGGTTGGGCACCCTATGTTCTAAAACTTTGGAAGTATAATAATAAATCCCATAGCCATGGCATTTATCCTTGCCTCGGACTCCTATGACGCTCAAGGTAAAGGAACTCAAGGTAAAGGAACTACAAGTTTGAACTCTTAACCTCACCTTGCTTGAGACTCCAGACACCAACCATATCCTTCCCCTGCCCCTGAGGATACGATTCCTTCGGCTTATATCTTAAAATCCTCTCAAAAGCCCCATTCCCACCACTACTCTCGTCCACGAGTTCACGTACAACCCCAGTTCCCCCTTCGGCGAGAAGGTCCCAATATACTCCTTGCAACGGCCAAGGAGGGCCAGGATACTTCATATCCTTGTGGAGGGGAAATTCCAGGCAGACGAGAATGCCGCCAGGGGCAAGCAGCTCGCTCATTCTCCGCGCCCAACCTTGACGCATCTCGGGCGGCAGAGCACACAAGAACTATTACTCCCTGGGTATCAGCACACATTAAGCCTACGGCCTCAGTTACATTCTCTCGAATGCACTTACCGTGTAGTCGTAGATGAGATCGAATCCCCCAGCATCCTGAAAATTTATATCCTTCTCCCAGTCCCTCGAAAAGAAGTCTCCCTCGATAAACTTGACGAGGCCAAGCTCACTTACAGCGGGATCATCTTTATTACCATAGTTAATAGGCCTTGGTTCACCAAGCTCGTGAGCCGCGTAGGCCTCTGCAGTCTTGATAGCGGCGCTGGAAACTTCCAACCCGTAGGTATCAAAGGCGTGCAGTGCCAGCATCACAACATCGTACCCCTTTCCGCAGCCCTATATGCCACCATCAGTAACGCCATATTTTGAATTCAATCAAGGGCAGCAAGATTAACCCACTGGAACCAAGGCCTTTAGTCGGCGTCCGGCGGTAGGTTTGGGAAGGACTTCTGGATGTGACTCGACGAGCTCAATGAGCGGCGCCGACGGCCTTCCTCGATCCCAGAGGTCAGATTGATCAGTATCCCATAGTTCCGCCCAACCAGAAGCTTGATCCTCAAGCGGCCTATTCAGCTCGTCAGAATCCCATCATAACATTTAGTCCCACATGAGGTGGGGATTCAGGCTCCTGACCTGTTTGTGAAATGGGAAATTAGACGGCCAATCTCAAACTTCGGGGCCGACATCGTGGGATCTGTAGACATGCGATCGATTGGTATTTTTATGAGTGACTTGAGAAACGAGTTACGTCCATGAGCGGGATTTTAGAGTTTCTCTTCTGCTCAGATGCCATCCCAAGACGGGATTTTATTATGGAGTGCGGTCCGGTGACTCGATACGGCCCCACCACCCTTCATTCCACGCCCTAAAAAAAGGAGCAAGGAAACTCGCCGAAGAGAAGCACACTTACGCGTCCATTTTCGCTACGCCATCCTGAGCCCGTCCCATAGACTGTATGTTTTCCGCTTCAGAGTACACCACTCTATTATATGGAGATAGGACACACTTCGAATAGACTCAAAAGCCGGAGGCTTAGGCCTGTTCCGGCCGTCGACTGGCAACGGACACGCCGAGATATAAATAGTAGGTGAAGCATAGGACAGGATCCGCAAATTCAGTAGAACTAAGCAGTTTTTCATCTACTCTAAATTCTAGAGACATCCATCTCTCGTTGCCTCAGGAACAGGCCTTGCAAACCGTCCGCCACAAACCTCCCTACCATGGCTTCTGCTTCCCGCTATGGCTGTAAAACGTCCCATTGTCTCCATCAGTCAAGCCATCTATCACTTTCAAAATCCCAGAAATGCTCTCATGCGGCTCTAGGATCGCCCCCGGACCACCCATACGCGTTTTGACCCAGCCCGGATCCATGAGAATCACCACAGCCCCGTGTAATCCGGCCTTCTCCCTCAGATCCCCAGATTGGTGCACAGCCAACATATTGAGCCCTGCCTTGGAGATACTGTACGTGCAGCACTTCCTCGCTGTGTTTCCCGGGGCGCCGAGGCTCTCCGTCATGGACCCTAGCCCGGACGTAAAATTGACAATGCGGACGTTCGGTGAGAGCAAAGAACCTGCGTTGAGGAACTCGACTACCTTGGCGGGGCCGATGACGTTGACTTGTATCTGCTCGAGGAGGGACTCGGGGTCGAAGTCAAGACTGGTCTGGTGCGACTTCTTATTGATGCCGGCGTTATTAAGGAGGACGTCAATCTTGAGGCCAGAGGCGTCAAGGATGGATTTGGCTTTGAAGGCAAAGCTGCGGATCGATTCGACATCAGAAGTATCGCATTGGAGGATGTGAATCTTGGCTGGGCCGGTGATGGCCTTGAGGTCTGTGAGGTCGGATTCGAGGGAGCGGGTGGCGGCGAGGATGGTATTGTCGGCTGACGCAGCGAGCTGGCGGACGAACTCAAGGCCAAGACCGCGGTTCGTTCCAGTGATGCAGTATACGGGCATGGCTATGAAATTAACGGATTCGACCGTCTACAAATACGCATCAATGAAGAAAAGGAGGTATGACGTTCACTGACGCAAGGCGCAATCGAGGCGGTGTTAATCGCTTAGTAAAAAGCTTCAACGGTGTCTGCGGGGTTCTGTCTCGATTTATATCAATCGCTACGTGGGGGAGTGAGTGGCTTCTTCGGAGCTTTCGAAACTGTTCCGCGTCCTTAACGTCGATCCCGTCGTGGATGTGTGGCAGCCAATGCGGGCGACGGGTGATGGCGACTCATGGTCGTGTGAAATCCTCGACTGGACGCATAAAGGCCTGGCTCGCCTTGTAAAGTCAAGGACCAATCCTCGTTGGTGATTGATGATTGATGGAACTGCAAAGTCCGTATCGGAAATCGTTCAGTCCCGACCCACCATGAAGATTTTCCTCATTGAAAACCCTTTTTCTTGCGCCGTGTAATAACCTTTCTGATTAGCCACAACTCTCGTCCCATGCTCGTCGATGAAATCGCAGGTGTAGTGCGTATGTCCAAAACCCCAACAGACAACCGACTTGTTCTGCCAGCACGGCTCTCCCCGCATGTCGCAAACAAACCCAGATGATACAGGACTGTCGACGTGCCTCGGGTCAAGCGCCCTCTCATCTTTGGTAGGACAGTGATGTGTAAAGACCACAATTTCCCGGTGCGGCTCCGCTGCGGAGATGGAGGCAACCTGGCTATTGAGCCACTCGACGTCCGATTGATGCGCGGCGTTATGGTCATTGACAGTCCATTCCCGAATGCCCTTGAAGTCCACCATTCTGTCGCGAATATCTGTTGCCTGCTCGGGCGGCACATTCGTAAAAAGGGTGCAGCCAAGCACCGTCAAAGTATCGGTGACATCATATCTGGTCTGATCAAGAAAGACAAACTTTCCAATCGTCGAGTTGGAGTGCAGATGTTGTAGCCTCCGCTCGAAGGCGCGGATGCGGTCCTTGGCAATCTGCCAGGTCTGATATGTAGGCTCGTGGTTGCCCAGAAGAAAGAAGACGACCCAGTAACGCTTCAACAGCTTCTCAAAGAACTTGTAGAGGCCTTCGTCGCCTACATGGCCGATATCACCAAGGAGAGCGAGATACGGCGCGGATAATTTGATTTCGTAGTCGTAGGTAGGATGTGTCTCGAGATGCAGATCGGACATAATCTGGAAAGCTACCGGCGCCATGGTGAAGATTAGGAGATTAGCGAGGAGGAACCGTGCAGAGGTGATAAGTATCTACTTCTGTCCTGAGTAGGGAGCAGTGCTGGAGAGCCAGGCGATGTTGATCTCTCATATACAAAAACGGAATTTTCAGAATTTAGACCGTTCTTGGCAGCCCTCGGCGTCGAGATGGTGCAGTGCGCGTGGCGTTGTAATGAGAATCGATAGGTCCAAGCCGTCGTCAAGGAGTGCTCTTGCTGGCGACAGCCAGGTGTCAAAATCGTTCAGGATGGTCGGGCGGTAGAGATTTCCAATACGTAAAGAGGGCACTGCCAAGCGCTCACCAATGCGCCAGGCCAGATCTAGTTCATTCCAGTCAAGAAGGCCCACTCATCCGCCTGAACTGTCTCACCAACAAGCCCTTCAAGCAGAGGGGAAGTCGGAGATATCCTGTGGAGAGATGAATATCAATGCCACCAGGAGCTATTGTCCCAGCACGAAGCTACGCGAATCTGGTAGTTGTCGCCCTGCAAGCTGAGCTAAGGAAAAAAAAAAAAAAAAAAAAAAAAAAAAAAAAGACGCGTTCTGAAGCGGAAGTCAGCGACGTCATGTGCCTTGGTCAGAGTCTGTCGGGTACAGGAACCTGCACCACGATGAAGTAATGAGGAAGGAAAGTGCCGGTGGTGTCAGATCAGATGCCACTGAGGTACAGTGACATGTGATTAAAAGTACATTTCCGACATACCAAGCGAGCAGAGGAAGTGGAGGTAGCCGAAGCCTAAGTCAAGTGCTCTCACGATTCAATTGCGGTTTTCGGTCGACCTCGTCTTAGCGCCCGGCAATCCCCAGACTGAGCGCTCCAAATGGCCGGAAAGAGCCGTTTTCGACGTAGCCCGGTAGTTTATTTGGCTGATGACCTCAGAACTGCGCATTGTCGAAATACGAAGATAAACTACTTCGTAATACTCTAGTCGAGTCGGAAGGGGCTGTTTATCCATGCGGAAATCGCCGCACAGAAAAAACCTCAAGTCCTTGTGCTTGCACTGCCCCGCTCCTTCCCCGCCAGTCCCGCCCCATCGGACTTAGAATCGCCCCATTTGGCATAAATCTGGTACAAATCAGCATAAGTTGCGTACCCTGCGCCATACGAGATCCGCTTCAACCCGTAACAGGTACATTTCCAGGCTGGGAAAATTGCCTGAGCTCACCTGCGTTGATCCCCCTCCTTAAAGGTACAAAGTACACTGGTCACTGGATCCAAACTTGAACTCCCTTTTCGCCCAATGAAGCCACTGAAACGGCTCAGGCCTTCCGAACTCGAACGCTAGTCGCCGCCGTCCCTGAGGCAGTCGCCCCAGTAAATGTTAGCAAGTTGTATTCTCTGGAAGCCCATTCGTCGCCCCCTACGTGTTCTGCAACTTTTGCGCGCATGCCCCGTAGCCAGGGATGGAATCCCGTCACGCGAGAAGCTCGAGCTCAGCCCAAGTCACTGCCAAGCACGTTAATAGCTTTTTTAACACGCGGCATCATGGCGGTAATTTCGGCCCACAGGATTTTTCTTGGATTTTCCACATATATAGATCGGACTCCCTGACGCGCTGAGCATCGCCCTGGCCTTTGCTCCCACGATTTCGTCATGGACTTGAACAGTCGAGCATATGCATCAAACATCACACATCACGTAAATGTGCTTTTTCTTCCACCGCAAACATGATATCCTGAACGGCGAAGGTTCGTCCTTCGTCGAAGGGCCAAGGCCTGTCCACCTCCCAGTGGATGTGCACGACACAAAGATCAGGCATCGGACTCCGATAGCAACCACACCGGCAACCTCAGCAGCCACATCCAAACAGTCGTCGACCAACAACCTCATACCAACACCAAAGCCCGCTCGGCCTGTGGTGGCAGCGCGTCGACCAGAATCAATATGTCATCTCGACATGCCCCGAACTGACATGTGGGCGGCACTCGAAGCAATCCAGAAAGCTCTAGGCGACACGATACCCTATGCAGTCATCGGTGGCGTAGCATGCATCGTCCTCGGGTCCCCACGGCCGACGAAAGACCTCGACATCGTCGTCCCCGATGGCAAGGCCGCCGAAGCCGCCACGTTATTAGCAGCCACTGGCCATTTCGGCACCGAGACGACACAGACAGGTCGGAGACGCGCGTGGTTCCACGCCTCGCTCCACCGCAACTACAACCTCGATGTGCTCGAGCCGCACGACATCGCCCAAAACTTTACCTCTACCGGAGGGGTCCCCGAGACCATCACCGTCAACGGATACCCCATCCTCCATCCGGCTCATCTCCTAAACTTCAAGATTGCCTCCTGGGTGGACCGAATGTCCACCCACGGCTACAAGAAGATCAACCACGCCAAGGACATAAGATTCCTCGTCGACTGGCTCGCGAGGGAACGCATGACGGTCACCCGGAGCCAGGTTTCCCATGCCACGGACGATTTCCTGGTACTTTTCTGTGCCAGCTACCCGGGCATGTCCAAGGCCTTCGAGAAGATTGGCCTCGTAAGGACAGGCCGCTCGAGGAAAAACTCGATGGATTCGAGATTCCATAAGGGCGACGAAAATTGGTGGTATTCTTGAGAGGCATGAGACGGGCGACGTTATCGCTGCTGATGCTTTCTCATCTCGGCCTTTTCTACAACCCGGACGAACTTGTTCCATGTTGGTTATGGTCGTCCGGAGAACTGAATTTGCATAAAGAGGGTCATGATAGAGGACTGGACGGTTACTGGATGATAATGATACCCATGTCTTGGATTTTTCAGATGTACGAATATCTTTATGACCACTATAATATGTAATAGCAAAATATGATCCTCTCCATCAGCTGTTATTCTTGTCTTGTGCTTGAATCTTATCGGAACGCGAGCTCCATGGCAAGACGTCCTTCCTCACAGTTCGCCACCTACTCGAAGAATCCGGCAACGTCGAGAACTCGGAAGTTTGTTCGTTACGGGATTTCTCGGGCAGCCATGAAACCAATTTCAGCCAGTATCTTAGGGACGATGGAGAGAGAGGGCGACAACTGGGGTGAGCCCAACCCATATCAGGCCTGCCATGGAACTTGGTACGTTCATGCTAAGTTGCTAACGCTGACCAGTTTCCTACTCTACCGACTGCTATTGTGGTCTGTTCTCCTTTCCGGCATCAACCAGAAGCAAGCATCCACGTCGCCACTGATATGTATGTGGCTTTTCTTACCCTTTTAGTTTTCACACGTTTGGTGGTTCTGCGAACGATCTCGAGTTCGACATGGCGCCACATGCATCCTTCACAAATTTCTATGCATCAGGAGCCCATGTCTGATACAATAAATCTCAAAGTCAGGCCAACCCCCAGGATTACGAAATGTACGGAGTAGCTCCCGGGAACGGTGTCCAATCCTCGTCTGCTTTCCGACTTGTGGGTAGTTACTCGCAGCATCCTACTGCGACTACAAGTGACCCACGTTGATCTAGATTGTTAAAAGACGATTATCTGGATCAGTTAACAACCGCTTCGACATGGAAAAGCGCCCCGCTGGGCGACGATATCATCCAGCCAAATCCAACTTCCAATTGGGAAAGATGACAGGCCCCCAAGGCAGACGCAAAAAGCCAACGCGAACACCACTCTCGCCAACTCTTTTTATGCTCTACTCAATCCACATATTCAAGAAGCATGTTCGATAATGTATCCTACACGGTCATTCTATACGACGGTTTTCAGTGGTATCTCCCCCATGGCTGACCTTAGTACCAAAACCTGGGGTATCTGCCCAACTCGGCCTTGGACTGGAGCGGATAAATGACCTCAAGGAAAATATACGGGAACGGGAACGCAGACGGAAGAGAGCAATCTAGGAGCGAGATTGGATGAAATTATCCAGTACCTGAGGAGCCTACCCCCTTCTTCCTCTTTTCTCTTACGCTGTTCGTTCGTGAAGTTGCATGTGAGCTTCTGCGTATGCGCACCAATCCACCCCCTCAGCGCCCACGGGAATGCAACGCTGATCGGAGATCAAGTTGAAGTCTGTGTGAGTGCACAGGATCACAGGGCCCGGACTAATAAGTCAGGTATTCCGCTCTTCTGTGGCGATAGAGGGGTTGCTGGAGAGTACTAGACATCACAAACCAGCCTACAAGATGAGGGCCCTCCACCTCCTTGGATTTGCCCTAACAACGGCCATGGCTAGAGCTCAGGACGGCCTTATTCTTCACTACCCGTTGACTGGAGCTTCGAGTGCGACCGCAGTCATCCGAGATGCAAGTGGAAGCGGAAATGATGGCAAACTTATCGGCTCGCCCCAGCTCACAGGCGCAGGCGGACTTCTCCTCGACGGAGTCGACGATTACCTTGTTCTTCCCAGCGACATTATGCGAAACTTGACAGCCATGACAGTTAGTACTCAGGTCCTAATCAGGGGTGAGCAATCCGGAAAGTACTTCATCTTCGGTCTGGGTGTGACGAGAAATGACATTGGCGACGGATACGTCTTCGCGACGGGGAATCCCTTCCGCGCAGCTATCTCCTCAGGGAACTGGGAGCTCGAGGCCGAATCACGAACAAACTTGGACCTTCCACGCGACATGTGGAAGACAATCACCTACTCGATTGATAGCACCGCTGGGTCCGCTACCCTCTATCTGGACGGGGAACGGGTAGCAGGACTTGCGAATAATAAGCAGATCGTGGCACCAGGCACAATTGGCGGAGGATCAACTGCAAACAACTACATCGGCCGATCGCAATACACTGCCGACAATCTCCTGGCTGGCTCCATCCGTGACTTTAGAATCTACAGTAGGGCCTTGACGGAATCTGAGATCGCGCAGCTCCAGCCCAACGAGACCAGTCGACTGGATGATGCTCTCGCATCTCTCACTGTCACCAACGTAGACGATGTCCGCGGCAACATCTTCCTTCCCGAGGAATTAGACGGTTTTCAGATCACCTGGAATAGCAGCGACCCATCCGTGATTTCCCCGGATGGCGTCGTCAATCGCCAGGATTCCGACG